AGAAGAGATCAAACGCTTTGGGGTAGGCTATCTTGGCCCCAGTCTAAGAGGTTGGAGAGGGAGAGAAGAAAACTGTGAAATAGAGAAGAAAGAAAAGCCAGAGAAGAGTATTGAATGCTGCGGAGAGGCCAAGTAAGAGGATATAGAATTAACCATGGGATACAGGGCTGTGCACCTGTATCCCATGACCCTAACAAGAGAAGGTTTGGGGAGGTGGTGGGGACAAAAGCTTGGTTGGAATGGTTAAGAGAAAATGAGAGGAGAAGAATTGAAAGCAATAAGTAAAGACTACTCATGTCTAGATTATACTGTAAATGGGGAGCAAAGCTGGTCAAGGAAAGAAGATCAAGGGTAATTTCTTTTGTTTTTAATGGGGAAAATAATGGTATATTTGTATGCTAATGGCAGTGATCCAGTGGAGAGGGGAAACAGGTGATGCAGGTGAGGGAAGGAGCATTTTAAAAATTTTGAAAACAAATACCTCTACGTGAGACCACAGTTTTTGCCACTTTCTAAACCATACTCCGACCTATTCACTCATTTGTATAACCTACATTTGACTTTTCATCTCTTGGCCTGGATAGATATAGACCTACGTGGGGCTCTAAAACAACACTGGAATCAACTGGCAAGGATGTACATTAGACCTAGTCCTGCCAGCAGACAGACAGATAGCCCCCACGTGCTAAAGTACCTTCTTTCTCAGGAGTGTTTTTGGCCATTTGTTCATGCAGACACTGCCAGAAAATTGACAGTCAGAAGCAGTTGAAATGTGAAATCCTATTAATACACAATATAATGCAGATTTGGGGGACTCACTAATTTATTTTATTGTAGTGTCTAGAAGTGAACGTTGGAATGGCCCCTTGGAAAATGGATGGTTTCTGGGTGCAGGCAAAGGAAGAGAGAAAGTTATTAAGTTGGGAGTGAGTGATAAAATAGCAGTGGGAGCAAAGATGAGTTTTTGCCTGGGCTTGGACTGGAACTATGTCACCATGGTGAAATGAAATGGTTACCACTGGACCACAAAGTGTCAGGAGCCCAAAGACTTGAGTAATGGTAATGTCCAAATCAGAGAAAGGCGAACAACTAATGCATGAATCTAGGTTTGGAAGGTCAAATTCTGTGAAAGGAAAGGGACTAATATATACCTATTACTGTACTGAATATCTTTATTCTTATCCACCTTATTACCCTGGAAGGATGATCTCTAGGGATTAAATATGGTGGCCAGCCTTTATGATGGCTCAGGGAGCCCAACTTCTTGGTATTCATTCTTCACCTTGCACTTTATCCTGGAAACGTATTCTGTAGAGGTTGGATCAATATGCTTCCAAGCCCCAGTTTCTGGTTGGATTACACTAATGGAAGGAAGTTGTGGTGAGGTTGCTTTGAGCTGGATATGTCCCTCAACAGCAGATCATTGCCCCAATCAAAGAGGTCTCTGTTGTACTTCAATCTCTCTCACTTTTCCTGGTCCTTTTGCACCTAGGGTTGGTGACAGTTCCAGTAATGTTGGACCCAGTTTCCTGTACATCTTTTATAGTTCCCTTACTCCCGTCCACACCTTTGTAATTAGTGACTTTGTGAATGAACACTTCTAAAATTATTCTAATTTAAATATGTCATGTTTCATATTGGAAACCTGACTAATACAGTAATAGATATGAGAAGTGGCTCCAGGAAAGAGTCAAAATTGGATCTGAGATTTATTTGGTCATATATTTAGAGGTCCAAGGATAGCCTTATAGCTGGGGGAAATAACTCAATTATCAGTTACTTGAATTATCATTGGCAGTAGCCTGGAATGCAGTGCAAAATGCTAGCTATATGGAGCTTCTGTAAAGTCTCAGGATGAAAATCAGCAATCCCCCAGGGGTTTGGAGCAATGCCTTGACACTGTGCTGATTTTTAATTTGAAAATAGCTGCTGACTAGGGGCGCCTGGGTGGCTCAGTCGGTTAAGCTTCCGACTTCAGCTCTGGTCATGATCTCACAGTCTGTGGGTTCAAGCCCCATGTCGGGCTCTGTGCTGACAGCTCAAAGCCTGGAGCCTGCTTCAGATTCTGTGTCTCCCTCTTTCTCTGCACCTCCCCCCTTGCACTCTGTCTCTCTTTCTCTCAAAAATAAATAAACATAAAAAAATTTTTTTAAAAAAGAAAGAAAATAGCTGCTGGCTTGCTTCTGGTGAAGACTGAACAGTCAACCATGGATCATGAGATATTTAGGTGATTCAAACTGCCTATCATGAGCTTAGTGTTACCTGATTCATTGAACCATAAAGTTAGGCATCAATAGCCTAACATTCCATCATAATATGGAAGTGATATATTGCAAGTGGGCCCCAGTAGATCCAGAAGGCTCAAGATAGCTTCATGAGCAAACTTATATTTACATAGTACCTGTTCTTTCTGCTTCTCCTTCAATCACATGAGAGGCCCCTAGAGGAGGTAGTCATCAAGACTTACTTCTAGATACCTCTGCATCCTAAGCATATACGAAAGGGGAAATAAACAGCCGTTGTGCTATAGCCACGTTCAGAGGACTCCTGAAAGATAGTGCTGAAATAAAATCCTCCCAGCACTTCAAAAAGTACATCCATTTGTTTACTTCATTAGGAAGAGATTGTATGAGACACTGATCTGCAATAACTAATGGGCAATGGCAGAAAACTAGTCAGGAACATGGAAAGAACAAGGTCAGGAGATTTGTGACAAGATCCGGGGGAGAGGATTATGGCTGAAACTCTTGGAATGAGGACAGAATGGAAAGATAAAATCAGAGGTCCAGAAAATGATCCATGTCTAACATACTCTGCTGCCTTTTGTCAGTTTTGTTTGCATTTGCTCAGTGGTGCTCTGCATACTCTTAAGCGTCATGTCCCATGATTCAGAAGCAGCTGGCTTATGGGACAGAGGAATGGCCTACTAAAGGGCCAGTTACTCTGACATCTGGAAGATAACATCTTACAATGTTGGAGTGGTATCCTATAGGGTGCAATAAATGTCTTAAATCACAACAAATGTGTAGCCAGGATGCATGAGTCAGGGAAGTAAGGAGGGGGGTATGAGTGGCCCTTTTCACCATTTTACCTAATAACCCACTGGAATATTGTTCTCTTTATCTGTGATCTTGAGTTGGTGGGTTTGGATATTTCAGTGCCCAAGAGAAGCATCTCTTTCTTAGGGAACCCTGAAAGTTGAGACTGCCCTCTGGCACTTTTGGATTCCTCGTGTCACAGAACTGATAGGCACAGAAAGGGGTCAATGTAGCTGAGATGAATATCCTGACTACCAGGAAGAAATTGGGTTGGTGCTTCACAGAGAAGACAAAGAGGACTTCAAAACTCAAGGAATTTACTAGTGTCATTTCCCAATATTCATAGTCATTGGACTATATTCCTGGTCATTGGAGAATTATAACAGCCCATAAAGACAAGACCAACTAAGGACCCAAGTCCCACAGGAATGAACATTTGGGTTATTCCATCAGATAAAGTACCTATTTCAGCCAAAGTGTTGACTGAGGCAAAGGGAAACATGGAATGGATGGTGATAGGGGGTATCTACGATCAACTTAGGACAGCACAACTATGGATGTGGGAATTGTAGCAGCTGTGTTTTATGTTACTCTTCTTCTCTCCTTATTTTGTTCCCTACCTCACTTAAAGAGTCCTAATGGTTGAGGCACCTGGGTAGCTCAGTTGGTTAAGTGTCCAACTTTAGCTCAGGTCATGATCTCATGGTTTATGGGTTTGAGCCCCCTGTCGGGCTCTGTGCTGACAGCTCGGAGCTTGGAGCCTTCTTCAGATACTGTGTCTCCCTCTCTCTTCCCCTCCCCCACCCATGTTCTCTGTCTCTCTCTCAAAAATAAACATTAAAAAAAATTAGAAAAAAAAAAAAAGAATCCTAATGGTTAGCGTGCTAAGTTTCAGGTGGAAATATGGCCGCGCTGACATCACCTGGTGATAATATGATGACTTATGGGACCCCATTGCATCCCCTGTTCTGGGGGCACAGAGCAGATGCTGGGGGGTAGACTATACTGGGTGTCTTCTGTTTGTACCCCTTGTCTATTTTCCCAGGATGATGGCTACTTTAATCTTCTCAACAACCCTATAGTAATAATAGATCTTCTCGATTACCCTCTTCCTATATACCTGGCATTGTTCCAGGTGCTTTCCATGAATTGATTCAATTCAATCAATTCAATTAATGGATTCAATTAATCCTCACAGTAGGTTTTTCATGCTGAGTATCCTATTACTCCCATCTTGCAGATGAGGAAACTTAAGCAAAGAACGGTTCAGTAACTTCCCCAAACCCACAGTTAGAGATTAACCTCTGCCTTGTAAGCTTTCTCAAAGGGGTTAGGTATGATTATCTTGCTTTTGCAGACAGGAAAGCAAAGACTTAGAAGAGTAAACAAAGGGACTCATCCAGATATAATCAGCCCCACAGTGAGGGTTCAAACCCAGGTCTGTCTAACCTCAAAACTCATGTCTAACATGTTCTGCTCTTTAATACTTCATTTTAAGGTGTCAACATGAGAAGGAGATGACTGGGAAATTTAGGTTCCATGGACATAAGATATTAAATAATAAACTATTAAAAACTATTTTTAAAAGAAACGTGATGGATCTGATTGAAAAATCCCTGCTAATATTTTCTAGGAGAACACTGCTTTTTGAATCATTCTTTTTTACACTTATTAGCTGTCATTAGCCTGATCAAGTAGAATACAGTGGTCACTTATCATTCACAGACTGAGGAAATGCATAAACCAGAACGGGGAGAAGAGCCTGAGAAGGGAAACCACACTGGCCAGGGTGCCAGTAACTTCTTTTTTGCTTTAGTGACAGTTTCTCACCCTTCCACTAGTAAAGGAGGGCATAGTCAAGACTTAGCACATGCTTTATAAGAATTCATATCCCTCCTGCCCTTGGGAATTTCCTCCACCTGACTCATCTATTCAATATCATGGACTAAGGGCTCTCTCACAATGATCTGCTTTTCAGATAATACCATCCAGTCGATTTTCTGTTGCTGTTGCTGCTGTTCCGTGCAGAAGCGGTAAGTCTACTTCTGGGAGCAACTTCTTGGAAATTAACTCATTCTGTTTCTTTATTGTCTATTAAGCGTCCTTGTCTCTTTGTATCTGCTGTTCCCTTTGCCTGGGAAACCCCTCTCCCATTTCCTCCCCGTTGAGTGCCCACCGATTTAAAGGCACAACTCCAATTTTGGGTCTTCCATGATCCGTCCTGGATCCCTTTGACTTTAGTGGCTCCTTCCCTTGCATTCCCACAGCATGCCTTGGTTCCATACTGAATATTTATTTCGTGTATGCTGTTTACATACCTGTGTTCCACTCTGTAATTTTTACACATTAAGGACAAGAATCTTGTCTTATTTATTTGACTATCTCCCCAGAATGATCAGGGTGTCTTACGCTTTGATGCCCAGCAAATGATTGTATAGAATAAACCTAAGGTAGCTTAATAATAGTAATAGCTAGCATTTAACAGGAGGTCCTCTATGTGAGACTGTGCTAAGAGGTTTGCATTTATTAGCTCAAGTAGCTCTCCAAAACACCTATAGTTTTTACAATCTCCGTTTTACAGATGAGGGAATTGAGGCTTAGAGAGATTCTGTTGCTTCCCCAAGGCCACACTATGAAATGGTAAAGCTGGGATCCAAACTCCTGTTCTTAATCATAGCACCGTGTCCATTTAGAACAATGCATACCATCAAATGAGGTAATGCGTGTAAAATGATAAACACTGTGCCTGATGCGGAGTAAGTTTTTCATTATCACGATTATCTTTTTATGTCCTTAATATGCACCAGACTCTGCTTTCTTCAGTTTTATTCTATAGCAACTCTTTTTGCTTTTAGCGTCTCTAGCTCAATAAGGAAAATGCGGTTCTGAGAGGTAGTCACTCGCCCATGGAAATGGAGCTGGGAAGTCTTCTAAGTAAGAAAAAAGTTGCAAAAAGACCTGGAGTTTCCTACTAATTTTGAGAAAAATCTAGTGAATATCACCTGAATGCAAACAATCATTTGTAACTTGGTTGTTTTTCAATCTCAGACAAGTAAGAACACAAATAAGCCTAAGCAAAGATGAAGAGTTTTCAGAAAGATACACTCCGCGTCGCAGGCTGTGGTTCAGCGAATTGCCAAGTAAGAAGCGAGTGAGTATCATCTTGCTGAGGGAGAAAGAAGAGAGGAAGCTTGCGTTTCGGGGTCCATGGTCCTCAAGACACTGTTTGCTGCCATGCCCAGAATCTAGTATAGTGCTCAGCACATAACAAGTGCTTCATGAGTGAATGTCTTAGAAGAAAGCCAAAGGAAAAAAGACCAGTTAAAATAGCCTACGCAGCTATGTTTCGGCAGGGCTTGAAACTGGATGGTGAATGGGGAAAAATGTGTTCTGGCTATTGCCGTTTGTGAACCCAGGATTAATTTTTCGTTCGGTGTTGGGGGAAATAGCGTTCTTATGCAGTGTGACAAATCCAAACACAAGGTTATAGCATGTGAAAGGGAAGGGCTGTTTTTCTTTTTTTCAAGAGAGAAAAGCCCATAAACAAAGTGGAACTATTGGGGTGGAATTCAAATTTTAAGAATTGTGGCTTAAAAAATGTCCAGGGGTGCCTGGCTGGTTCGGTCCACAGGGCACACGACTCTTGATTTCAGGGTCGTGAATTTGAGCCCCATGTTGAGCATAGAGCTAATTTTTTTAAAAAGAAAAATATCCAATGCAATTCTGGCAAGAGAACTTATGATCTTGAACATTTACAAAAGGGTGAGTGTGTTGCCGGATTTAAAGGTTGTCTTATAATCATTTCCTATGTTTACCCCACCCCGGTTTTTGCTTTGATGCAACCGGATGGGAGAATTGGGGCAGCACACAAAAGTATTATAGCCCTATTCTTTTTTAGTACACATGACTAAAACATGAGTACAACAAATCACTCCTTGGTTTTTGCAGGCCAACAGAGGCCACATGCAACCATCAAAACGCAAGCCACTGCCTCCCCTCCCACCCTCTGAGGTTACTGAAGAGAAGATCCAAGTAAAAGCCCTGTATGATTTTGTGCCCAGAGAGCCGTGTGATTTAGCCTTAAAGAGAGCAGAGGAGTACGTGATATTGGAGAAGTATAATCCTCACTGGTGGAAGGCAAGAGACCGTTTGGGGTAAGACTGATGCCATGGTCCTTACCAAATTCTTCTTTTATCCTCTGAAGACTCCTGAAACATAAAAACTGTTTTGTGGCTCATTTTCTTTAGGTTTATTTCCTTCTGCATGAAGTAGAACATGTCCCCACGCCTCTTATCTGTATGAGAGAGCATTACAGCACTGGGATTTCAGGCAGAGTCACAGCGCTTCATACGCCTGGCTTCACATCCCGACGCTGTCACTTACTATTGTGTGTCCTTTGGCAATCACTTACTCTCTCTGAGTTTCCCTCTCTGAGTTTTCCTTCCTTCCTTCCTTCCCTCCTTCCTTCCTTCCTTCCTTCCTTCCTTCCTTCCTTCCTTCCTTCCTTTTTTTTTAAATTAAGGTATCACTGACATATAACATTATATTGGTTTCAGGTGTGCAGCATAATTCAACATTTATTTGTGGAATGATCACAATATGTGTAGTTAACATCTGTCACCATGCATAGTTACAAATTTTTTTTTCTGGTGGTGAGAACTTTTAAGATTTACTCTCTTAGCGACTTTCAAATATGCAATATAGTATTATTAACTATAGTCACTATGTGGTTTAATACATCCCTATGGCTTATTTATCTTATAACTGAAACTTTGTATCTTTTGACCCCCTTCACCTACTTCACCCACCTGCCTCTGGCAACCACCAGTCTGTTCTCTGTATCTATGAGGTTTTTTTTTTAACTAAATTTTTTTTTTAGATTCCACATATAAGTGAGACTATACAGTATTTGCCTTTTTCCATCTGATTTATTCTACTTAGCATAATGCTCTTGAGGTCCATCGTGTTGTTGCAAATAGCAAGATTTTCTCCTATTTTATGACTGAAAATATTTTCTTTTATCCATTCATCCGTCATTGGACACTTAGGTTGTTTCCATATCTTGACTATGATACATAATGCTGCAGTGAACATGGGGGGGTTCATAGATTGTTCATGCCTGACTGGAGCCTGAGGTACACAATTCTGAGGGGTATCTGGGCTGCCTGGGAGAGAGCGCTGGCTTTGAATTCTATTCTTTGTCATGATTTGGAGACCATAAGTATATAAGTATTAGAAATATCTATATTATATACCTCTGTTCTAATTGTATTTTCCTGATGATTTGGCTCTTACCAGTTTTTAGTTTAGACTCAACATGTGATGGAGACTTTTCAGTGGGAAAAAAGGTATGAGTAGGTTCAGGATAGTGTAGTTAGCCCTCCAGCAGGTGGACATTGGTGTGATTCACTCATATGTAGATCTTGAGAAACTTAACAGAAGACCATGGGGGAGGGGAGGGGGAAAAAGTTACAGAGAGGGAGGGAGGCAAACCATAAGAGACTCTTAAGGACTGAAAACAAACTAAGGGTAGATGGGGGTGGGGGAGAGGGGAAAGTGGGTGATGGGCAGGGAGGAGGGCACTTGCTGGGATGAGCACTGGGTGTTGTATGGAAACCAATGTGACAATGAATTATATTAAAAAAATAAATAAAAATAAAAATGAACTAATTAATTTTTAATTTCAAACTTAATAAGTGAATATCGTTTTTTATAATATGCATCCATGATAAATAATGGCAAATTCCTGCTTTGCCACACCTCCAAACCCAGGCACCATTATTAACTCAGTGAGTGCCCTTCCAGATGATTGCAGTGCACTTTCATGCCCATATTGAAACATATGTTATTGTTTGCAGACTTAGTTTACCTAATTCCTTACCCTGCTTTATTCGTTGTTCTACACATTGCTTGTGTTTCTCAATAATGTCACGGAGATCTTTTTGTAATTTTATAATTTCAAATTTTTTTGGTGAAGGTATAGAAAAAGAGAAACCCGTGCCCTCCTGATGGGTGTGTAAATTGGTATATTTTCTTTCAACAGCAGTTTGCTGTATCTACTGGGAGATGCACGTACTTGGTGACTCAGCAGTTTCCCTGCTTGGTATCTGTCTTAGACAAATACTTTTAGGGGTGCACAAGAAGTCATGTGTATGTGTTTCTGTACAGCATTGTTGTGATACAGACATGGCTAAACTGGAATATCCATTCTATCTATTCTGCAGCAACTAAAAAGAATTAAGTTGATATCTTTGTAATTGCTGTGTTTTATTTATTTTTTAAAAAAAATTTTTTTTTAACATTTATTTATTTCTGAGACAGAGAGAGACAGAGAATGAACAGGGAAGGGGCAGAGAGAGAGGGAGACACAGAAACTGAAACAGGCTCCAGGCTCTGAGCTGTCAGCACAGAGCCCGACGCAGGGCTCGAACTCACGGACCGTGAGATCATGACCTGAGCTGAAGTCGGACGCTTAACCAACCAAGCCACCCAGGCACCCCTGTAATTGCTGTGTTTTAAATCGAGTCATATGACATCCCAGTGGTCGCATAAGTGCCGCTTTTCCTCTTTGAAGAATTTTTGTGTCATAAAACACCTGACTACTTACATTGTAAGTCAGAATCCTAGTATTTATCATACAGAGATTTTGGTTGAATGTGGAAATGAAAACGCCTTTTTTTTTCTGTTAGCAATTTAATCAGTAAAACAAGTTTGATTTCCCCCTATGTCCTTGAGGTTTTGAAAGGATTGTCGTCACATAATGCCACACACGTGCCAAGCATTTTGATGGTTGCCTTGTCTTTTGTTGTAGGAATGAAGGCTTAATCCCAAGCAACTATGTGACTGAAAACAAACCAACCAATTTAGAAATATATGAGTAAGTCTCCTCCAAAACGTGAGCTATGGTTAATCTACGAAAATCAGGTACATTTGGGCAGTTTACGAGTATCGATGCTGATTTTGGTCTACAAAAGTTAAAGAACACATCTGGCTGCTTTTAGCTTGAGAGATCTTTGATGCTTTTTTTGTTAGTTTTTTTCATGTTTATTCATTTTTTGAGAGAGACAGAGTGTAAGTGGGGGGAGGGGCAGAGAGACTGAGACACAGAATCCAAAGCAGGCTCCAAGCTCTGAGCTGTCCGCACAGAGCCAGATGCAACTGCGAGATCATGACCTGAGCTGAAGTCGGTCACTTAACGGATTGAGCCACCCAGTTGCCCGATGTTCGATCCTTTTAATGGTTGATTCAGAAACTTATTTTCCCTAAATTTCTTTTTCAGTTTTGTTTTGTATGACCACTTTTTTTGGTTTGTTTTAACAGTGACAGCATGGAAAGCAAGCACTCATCTCGTTCTTATTATATGTCCTAAATGGAAAAATAATGATCTCAAAAATGACATTCATTGTTTAATGAGTGGTGAATTGAACCTAACTTAGAGACACATAACTACATTTTGGCTCATGTTGGGAAGCATTTTAGAAATAGCTGAAGACGAGAAGTAGGCTAATGCTGTAGTTTGGGGGGAAGCTTTTGGCGTGTTCGCTAGGGTTCTGCTTAGAAATCTATTTTTGTTGCAATGATAGATTTGGAAGATGGAGATCTTAGGAATCATTTTTCTAGCCCCTCATTCTGCAGATAAGAAACTGAGGTTGCAAAAGTAATTTACAGGTAGAGAGTGGTGGGCTTAGGAGTAGTGTTGGTCCTTTATAAATTCAGGTTTGCATTTTACCCTTGACTGCCCTCCCCACAACCGAGATACTCACTTTATAATTAGCACATGCTTCCAGCAGGTGGCGGTAGGGGATGTGAGTTGAGACATTGAGGCTGGTGCTTCTCCAAGAATGGGGCAGCAAATATAAATTGAACCCGCCCCAGCTCCTAGGGTGTCTGCCTTGCTACTAATTTAAACCCACCTGGAGGCCCGACCCAGCATCTCTCTCTCCCCTAAAGCAAATCCAACTCTAAAAACATTGGTGAACAACGTAGACTTCATTAGAGGGAGAAAGGGATGACTACAGGACACATGACTCATCCATGTGACTTGACCAGGCCTCTCTATTAGCTACTTCTATTCTCTCTCGCAAGTCAGCCTCCTTACTGCCATCACAGATCTCTCTTCTCCGTCCTTCACTCAGCTTGTCATGCCCCCTCTCTTGACCTGAGTCATGTAGCTCTGCATGGAAATTCTAGTCTCCACTCGGTAGGACAGAGCCCTCAGGTGGCTGAACACCTGTCCTAGGAAAACAGTTCCACAGCAGTCTACTGTGAGTCCAGCCTACTCCTCAGGGGGCAGCGTCCCAACACATTAGGTCTCTTGAAAGGCCAGGTCAGGGGAAGTTCTGTTTGTAAATCTCCTGTCAAGAAAAATTAGAAAAAATAGGATTTTCTTTCCATATTGTAAACTCAGTTCAGACCTTCCAGGAGATTAAAGGAGTTATGTGTGGAGGTACTTAACACAGTAACGGATAGTTAGTGAATGGACAGTCAGTAACCAACCATGTGACTTTCCTTCCTTTTATGATTAACAAATGTGCTTGCTGCTTCCTTAGTTTACACAAGGCTTGGAGTCTGCAGCTTGTTTATGCTATAGGTATTGGGTAATTTGAATTAAACCACTCTGAACTTAGAATAGTCATTTCATTTTCTTGGCTTTGATTCATGTGTCTTTAAAAGTCTTGGTCTCTACTCCAATTGTGAGAAAATTAATTTTATTTGTTTCTTTTTTTTTAATTTTTTTTAATGTTTATTTATTTTTGAGACAGAGAGAGACAGAGCATGAACAGGGGAGGGGCAGAGAGAGAGGGAGACACAGAATCTGAAACAGGCTCCAGGCTCTGAGCTGTCAGCACAGAGCCTGATGCGGGGCTCAAACTCACAGACCGCGAGATCATGACCTGAGCCGAAGTTGGACGCTTAACCAACTGAGCCACCCAGGCGCCCCTATTTGTTTCTTTTTAAAGGAGTTTATGAAAATGTAGATATAATAATTATCAACATAAGTCATTAAAATATATCAACTACTTACTAAGGGCCAAGCACTGTTCTAATAACTGTGTAGAAATTACTGCTTTAGTTTGAAATAATGTAGTGTGGGTTTAGAAATTGGAGAAATCTATGGGGCACCTGGGTGGCTCAGTCTGTTGAGTGTCCAACTTCAGCTCAGGTCATGATCTCATGGTTCGTGGGTTTGAGCCTGGTGTTGGGCTGGGCTCTGTGCAGACAGCTCAGAGCCTGGAGCCTGCTTCAGAGTTTGTGTCTCCCTCTCTCTCTGCCCCTCCCCTGCTTGCTTGCAAAAATGAAATGTTAAAAGAAATTAAATTGGGGAAATTCCGGCTCAAATACTGACATCACCACTGACTAGTGCTTGGCCTCTGGGCAAAGTTACTGAACATCTATAAACCTCTACATGATATGAAAACTGGGACCATAATGCCTATCTCATATAGGAATAGTAAATATTTGAAACATTCTAGAACTGTGAAGCCAACAGGAAGTGAATTTTCAGGTTGCCGGCTATCACAGATGTACTACATTTCGTAGTTACTTTAGGCCCTGAATCACTTCACCCTATTCAATCTTTCCTGACTGTATACTTCTGATGTACCAGATGTTAGCTGTTCTAGGCCCAGGGAAGACGGAGAAGCAGTCCATGTGTTCACAGAACTTACAGCTTTATGGGGGAAATAGACATTAACCAATCTCAGATTCACAAATAAGTATAAAATTTTAAATTGTGGTCTTAGTAAGGAACAGTATGGACACTGGGAGAAATCAGTGGTAAAGGGGATATAATTTAAATGAGAGTGTGGGATTGGAAAAACCTTATAAGGAAGTGACTTGAGGTCCAAAGGTAGTAGGAGGTCCTTAGGGGTGGAGGGGAGAAGGAATGCTCATGTTAGTGTGGGTTTTTGACATCTCAGGAATCTTTATACTTTGAAATATTTATGGCTGCTTTGGTTTTAACTTAATATCCAAATTATCAACATTACAATGTGAAAACCTGGTTTTCAGTAAGCCCTCAAATTTAACTTGCAGGTCTTGATATACTGTTTACAGATCTAAAACAATAAGAACAATCACTTTAATTCAAACTCAACACACAGTGTCCTTAAACAATCAGCCCTTTTATAAGTTCAGTTAATGAAATTTCCCTAAACATTTCACTTGCATTAATAGACTAAAATTTTCTGATTAAATATTTTACATGCCAGACAGGGCAAATTTGCAATTTTTAATAGCCCTTTGTAAGTCCATATACGACCCTGGAAATCTAAAAAATTAAACTTAAATGTGGTAAGCCAAGTTCTCTTAACCATACAAACATCATTTAAAAAGTCAAATTCCCGTAAATTTCAAATTGTAAGTTTAAAATTAATTATGCTTTTAAAACTAGAGGCAAAAACCTAATAATGTCAGATTCTCTTAAAATTATAGATACTTTAAATTTTTTTAATGTTTATTTATTTACTTTGAGAGAGGCAGAGTTGTGTGTGTGTGTATGTGCGAGTGGGGGAGGTGCAGACAGACAGAGGGAGAGAGAGAATTCCAAGCAGGCTTCGGGCTATCAGTGTGGAGCCTGACAAAGTGGGGCTCGAACTCATGAACTGTGAGATCATGACCTGGGCTGAAATCAAGTGTTGGATGCTTAACCAACTGAGCCACCCCAGGTGCCCCTTAAAATTATAGGTACTTTAAATATCAAACATATTGCTTATCCTGAATTTTACAGAAGTATGAGTCTGATTTATCTCATCATCTCTAACCTGAATGCTTACTCTCCTCAGGGTTAAAAAAAATCACTAAAGAGAAGCAGGTTTCCCTTGTTAGGTCTAATAGGGTTTCTAGGTTGAAAACTCAAGACTACAACACTGTTACTTGTTGATTCAGAGATTGGAATGGGGTACACGAGGCTTACATGTATACAAGATGTTTGTAATCAGCAACAGTTGGACATGCTGGATGGCTTTTATTTTTTTATTTTTGGATGGGTTTTGTATGTTGGTAGAAGCCCCACCCCAAGCTCTCTGTCCACATCATTCAGTATGAGTTTTACAATCAGTGTCGTCTTGGTATATGAGTTGCAAACTTACCTATTAAAAACACTCCACAAAACTCTTGTTTCACTGTCTGATTTAACCAGATGAAATTCTGAAATACCATGCCCCTGCTTCTCCTATGTCACATCCATCTAATCTCTTTTCTGACAGATAAAATTCTGCATTATTTTAAAGGATCTTAAATTCATCATATACTTCTATCTGGCTCTTCTATTACTACTTCGAAGTCATTCTTTTTTTTTTTTAATTAAAATTTAATGTTTATTTTATTATTGAGAGAGAGAGAGCGTGAGTAGGGGAGGGACAAAGAGAGAGGGAGACACAGAATCTGAAGCAGGCTCCAGGCTCTGTCAGCTTAGAATAACAGAGACACAAAAAAAAAAAAAAAAAAAAAAAAAAAAATAAACGACATATGAACGAAAATAAATTTTCTTTTCTTTTCTTTTTTTTTTTTTGGTATTAAAAAAAAAAATTAAAATATTATTTCGAGTATTTTATATATATGTCATATCGGTCAAAGGGGGAGGGTAGAGATAGCGAAGGAACATAGAATGGGAAGTGCCCAGGTTCCCAGCTGTCACACAGAGCCCGACGCCAGGGCTGGAACTCACAAACCACAAGATCATGACCTGAGCTGAAGTTGTACGCTCAATCGACTGAGCCACCCAGGCACCCTGAAGTCATTCTAAAGACATCCACACATGGATGGATTTTTAATTTATATTTAAGCAAAATTAATATATTTGCTTATATTTCTCACTATAATAAATAAGTATGAAACAACAAAATTAATACCAATGTGATAGCAGGTGAGAAACATGTAGAAAAAAATAATTTCTATAAAATTTTCCCTTTTGGAGTGTCATTACACAGTCTTGGCTTTTCATAGCCTCAATGTATTTTAGTGAGCGATAATCATTATTTTCCGTTTAGCACCCAAATTTCATGAATTAGCAAATGGGAGCACCTTTAAACTAGTCCCCTGTGTCTTTAACTCTGTCTCATTTATTTTGAGAGAATTTCTTCTTTCTACAAAAACAGGGCTGAGACCCATCCTGAAATTCCCTCCCCTAATATGAATATTCATTGAAAAGTACTGAATGATATTCACAGTTTAACATCACAATTACCTTTTGTTCCCACTGGTGATAAGTAGCCCAATTACTTTGTCTAGAATCACCTGTAATCATCCTCTATTCTCTATGCTTCATCTTTTTTAAAGTTCATTTTCAACTTAAGGCTGTTAGTATTTTTAATGCCTGACCATTCTAATTTAGTGGCAGCTTTTTATTACTGCAGGTTAGGGGAAGTCCCACGATATGGTAGGTTCCATCCTCAAAGTCAGATATAGGAGTTTCATGTGGCCACCATTTGGCCTACCCACTGTGACTCAATGTATACTCTTACTTAACTATGTTCCTGTGAGTGGTTCTTATATATTTAGTGGTAGTGTTTCATACAGAGGAAACAGCAAGACAGGAGGCAGAAAGGGGCTTGGTGAGGAAGGCAAGAATCCCAGTGTGGCCGAATCTTTGTATGAGAGGGGAACAAGAGGGTGTGTGAAATAGGGCAACATACTAGTTGTTCTGTTTACGTTATTAAACCACTAACTTCACTACGAGTTAACATACAGTTAACATAACAACTGGGTCAGAGTTAGTTTTAATTTGGGAAAGGGAACACAGCACATATAAAAGCGTGCAAATAGGAAGTTCCTGAGAAGAAAGAAAGAAATGGGTATTTTTTAGTTTGTCTATCAAAGCTCAGTAAATGTTTATTGAAGATGATGCCTTCTTAATCACACACCTTTCATGGAAATTTTCAGGAGATTAAATCACTCAAAACCATATACCCCTCAGAAAGTGGAATTAAGATGTGATAGAAGAAATTAGATTTTGGCTTACAATTAGTAGAACTATATTACCTTAAATCAATGACACATAACAGTACATTGTTGTTTATTGGAATTAACTCTCTAAAACCAGTTCTGGAGTAAAGTTCTTAGTAATGAAGGAAATGAAGGGATTTTTTTTTTTCGGTAAAAAAAATGGAATATAAAAATTTTAAAGTCTTTTTATCGCTTTTACAGGTGGTACCATAGAAACATCACCAGAAATCAGGCAGAACGTATTTTGAGACAAGAGGTAACTCAATTTATTAACAAATAACTTGTGAATATTTTCAGAATTTCTGAGAGATGGGCATTATGAAGACGTGACCCAACTAGAAAGTTTTTTCTTCCTGTTCTTTATAGCTCTAAAATATTATTACAACTTTATGTCTACTGCACATTTTCTGATAAGTTGTAAAGCAGATGTATTTGTATCAGATCATGTTTTTCATGGGCTTTCACTGTCATTTGAGAAATGTTTTTTTCCTGAAATGATTTCAATGCCACCGTACTGAAACTGCTCATTCACTTCAAAGTGCATTCTGCGAGAAGAGTCTATATTTGAATTGCCTATATGCCTCTGCATATCAGCCAGTAAAATATACACTGACTTTATGAGCTTAGCTAAGGCTTCTTAAAAACACAAATATAGAAAAATACACAGTGCTGCACTTTCTTTGTTCTTTGGGAACAAAAGGAAGAGTGGGGGAACCAAAATATCAAACTCAGATCAAAACTGCACTTTTAGGTCAAAACAAAACAGAACTGCATGCAGTTTCCAACGGACGGTAAGTGTGAACTGTGGGTAAAAGTAGTCAAACCTAGAAACTAGGGAAGATGTGTGTGTCGTTTTATACTGCTGTCGGATGTTGAGGAAATCTAGAAATGTGAGTGAGAAAGAATCAGTTCTGTAACTAAAAAGTCAATGCCAGGAATGGCTCAGGACACAGAGAAGGTCCAATTACTAGCAGGGGGATAGACAGACTTTGAGGGACACAGACCCAGTCTCAGCTGGTGATGGGGACAGAGGTTGGAGGTCAGGCCTGGCTTCTCTAGCTAGGAGGAAGTGGGGTGTGGCAGCAAATGTAGTATTCATCCGGCATGGTGACAGCAGGTGGACTTCTGTAAAGAGATGTTAGTAGGTCTAGAATAGACACGTAGGCAGAACTGGAGCAGGCAAGGTCTCAAACAGGCCCATGGCAAGCAAGTTAGTCACAGGCGATATGGCCACAAGATCACATGGGCTGTGCAGGGTCAGCCTGAGAGGTTCTGCAGCTGAGAGGAAGTCACAACAGAGCCAGGGGCTCACCGCCCTACGAAGACTAGAAGAGCAAATTGCACAAACCCCCATGTACCTAAAACCCAGATATCACAAATAGCAACATTTGGCAGGAACATTCTTTAACAAAATAAAACACAGCAGATACAATTGAAACCTATCCCTTCTCTCATCTGTTTCATGCCGCCCATTCTCCAGAGGCAATCACAATAGAAGGGTGTGATCCCATTGTGTCCATGTGCTTATATTTTTATCATATATATGTGCATATATATGTGCACATTATATTTTATCATATATATGTGCATTTTATGTGTTTTAACATTTCACATAAGGAGATCACATGTATGTTGATTAAAAAAATTTTTTTAACGTTTATTTATTTGTTTTTTTGAGAGACAGAGACAGAGCATGAGCGGGGGAGGGGCAGAGAGAGAGGAGACAGAATCTGAAGCAGGCTCCAGGCTCTGAGCTGTCAGCACAGTGCCTGATGTGGGGCTTGAACTCACAAACTGAGGTCATGACCTGAGCTGAAGTCAGATGCTTAACCCACTGAGCCACCCAGGAGCCCCAATTTTTAATGAAACATTGTATTTCAGTTTTATTCACATGGGTACATAAAGATCAAGCACATTCCTTTAACTGCTGTATACTATTTCATTATGAGTATACCAAAATGTATTGATAAACATTCAAATTGTTTCTAACTTCTTAGTATTACCAATAGCCTGCCAAGAACTTTCTTGTACAGGTCATCTTGTACCCAAGGGCAAGGATTTTTCTTGTTATGCCCAGAAATGACCTGATCAGGATCTACGTGTGGATTTAACATTAAATATATTTTGGAATCATGATTCAAAGTGCTTGTCCTAAGTTACGCTCTCACAACGAATGAGAAAACTGGCCCCTTACATTCTTGCCAACAGTTGGTAACTTCATACTTTTTTTCAATTCACTGAGAAATTGTATATATGTTTTATTTTCCTAATACAATTTTTTAAAATGTCTGTTTATTTTTGAGAGAGAGAGAGACAGAGAGACAGAGAGACAGAGTGCAAATGGGAGAGGGGTAGAGAGAGAGGGGGAGACACAGAATCTGAAGCAGGCTCCAGCTGTGCTGACAGCTCAGAACCAGACGTGGGGCTCGAACTCACGAGCTGTGTGCGATCATGACCCGAGCTGAAGTTGGACGCTTAACTGACTGAGCCACCCAGAGGCCCCCTGTGCGTGGATTTTAAAATGTGCATTTCCTTGATCAACAGTTCACCTGAATGACTTTTTATGTGTGTGTTGGCGAGTTGGGCTTCCTCTGCTGTTACATGACTGCTAATATCCTTTGCTCATTTTTCTATATTGCAGTGCTGTTTGCCTTTTTAACTGATTAATATGTATTTTAAAAGTATATTCTGAAAACCTGTCTTTTAGGTTACCACCATCTTCTTCTAATTTCTGGCTTAAAATTTTTTCATGCTCTTATTTTTACACTTTAAAAGATGTTAATGTCAAATTTTTCAGTTTTTATGATCTCTCTCCTTTTTTTCCTTTTTTAGTATAATAAATCCTTCTCTCTTCTGAAGTAATAAAGGAAGTTTATATTTTCTTTTAAATGCTTTAAAGATTTGCTGTTCGTTCTTAGGTCTTAATCTAAAATGTGTGTGTATGTGTGCTATGTGTGTGGATATTTTAAAATATATACACGTTTTTCCATGTATCTTAAAATATTTTTGTAATTTACATATTTTCTATGAAAAAAATTTTTTTTAACATTTATTTATTTTTGAGAGACAGAGAGAGACAGAGAATGAGCAGGGGAGGGACAGAGAGAAAGGGGGATACAGAATCTGAAGCAGGCTCCAGGCTCTAAGCTGTCAGCACAGAGCCCCGTGAGATCATGACCTCAGCAAAAGTCAGTTGCCTAACCAACTGAGCCACCCAGGCACCCCTTTATTTTCTGGTTTTTTAAAGTACCTGGATTAAAACCTAATGGTCATGAGACATTTAAATTTTTTTATGTTTATTTATTTATTTTGAGAGAGACAGAGCCAGGGTGAGCAGGGGAGGGGCAGAGATAGAGGCAGAGAGAGAGAGAGAGAGAGAGAGAGAGAATCCCAAGTAGGCTTTGCACCATCAGCACGCGGCCTAACATGGAGCTCAAAGTCACGAAGCCGAGAGACGGATGCTTGATTGAGCCACCGAGGTGCTCTGGTCATGAGGCATTTAAAAAATATATATGTGGCAGGATTCTCACACAGAGAGTCGTGACACTGAGGCTTTTCTTTCCTGGAAACAACTTTATTCCTGCCGGCACCGCTCTGTTGGGTTCGTACCCAAAGAACTGAGCCCCGAGCACCACGTGGCGTAGTTTTTTAATGCATTTTTTAAAATTCTTTGTCTCCTATATATGGCAACATACAAACATGCAGTCTGATCAAGTGGCCTCATGATACAAGGTTGTGAGGGATGTTGACATGTATGCATATAGCCAGGTTGAGGTTTTTTTTCCTTTCCTTAGGAAGGGGACCCTACCACATTTATATTTCTGGTTTGGGTTTCCTAATACTTTATTTAGCATTTGTCCTGTTATGTTCACAAGGGAGCCTGGCTTCCAATTTCCCACTCTCTTTGCCTAGTTTCAGTATAAAGGCTATGCTAGCATCATAAAATGAAGTAGGACATGAGGTTTTGTCTCTTTTTCCAGTCTTGAAAATAGTGTATATTGAATACAGGTTATTTGTTCTTGAAGTTGCATATATCTCTCATGAAATAGTTTGGACATGCTGCTTTTTCAGATATTCGACTACTGATTTAATTTCCTTTTCTTTTTTGAGATGTTTGATAATTTATAGTTATGTGGAGAATTGCCTATTTTATATTTATTTTCAAATTTATTGCATACATTTTTATAGAGGTATTTTATAATTTTATTTACGTCATATTTCAATAGTCGGTATGTTCATATGGTTTAAAAATCAAAAGACTCTAAAGTTTTCTTCCATCCTTGTCCCCAGGCCACCAATTCCCTTCTCCATAGACAAACTTCTATTGTTAGTTTATTCTGTGCTTTTTCAGAAATATTTAATACATACACAAATAGAAACATGTTTTCTTATAGTGTTATTTTTACACAAATAGTAATATATATACTCTTGTGTACATTACTTGTTTCATTTAACAATATATATTGGGAAGGAATCTTTTCACATCAGCACACAAAAAGTGTCCTCATTCATTCTACACATGCATAGTATTTCTTACTTTGGATGTATCACAAGTTATTTAAAATTTTTAACGGAAATCTAAGTACTATACTACTTTTATGAGTATATATGTAGGATAAATCACCCAAGATAGAAATTCTGGGTCAAAGGGAATGTACATTTCTAATTTTGGTAGACATTAAATTACCCTCTATAGTTGTACAATTAATATTTCTACTAGAAATGTAAGAGAGTGCTTATTTGCCCCACAACCTTCCCAGCAAGTGTTTAATGAAACACATGGATCTTTGCTCTCTGACATCTCATATCAGTGTAGGTTTCAGCTACATTTCTCTTTTTAAAAACTTATTTTTATTAAAAAACTTTTTTTAACATCTATTTATTTTTGAGAGAGAGACAGAACATGAGCAGGGGAAGGGCAGAGAGAGAGAGGGAGACACAGAATTGGAAGCAGGCTCTAGGCCCTGAGCTGTCAGCACAGAGCCGGACAACATGGGGCTCAAACCCGTCAACCATGGGATCATGACCTGAGTGAAAGTCAGACGCTTGACTGATTGAGCCACTCAGGCACCCCTCAGCTACATTTCTCTTATCCTGGGAATGTTAAGCATCTCTGTATATATGAAATTTTATATATTTGTCTCTCCTTTTCTGGAAGCTGTCTGTTCATGCTGTCTCCTTTGCAAAATTTTCAGTTGGCTCTTTAAAAAATGCTTTCCTCACAATTTGTAGGACCTCTGCAGCTATATTAAGGAAATTAGCTCTTTGTGATATGTGGCAATACTCTTCCCAATTTTTCAGTTCTAATACTACCCTTTTCCATGAATGGTACTTGAATTTTTTGTGTTTGAATTTATCAGACGATTTTTTGCGAAGCTTTAGTGTCAAGTTAAAATTGTCTTATAAAAAATATTATAAAAATATTGTAAAAAATTTTCCCCATGTTTCTTGATTGCCTTAGTGGTCTTATTTTTAATGTATGCACGTTTGAATAATTTGTAGTTATTCCTGACACAGAGTGAGGTATGGATCCGATTTTATTGTTTTTCTAGATGGTTACCAAGTGTCTATCTTTTCTGCATTGATTTGAGATGCCACTTTCCTTAGAAACACAACTCCGATGTTGCACTACATCTGGACTTACTACTTGCTTCCGTTGATCCTCTTGTCTATTTATGTGATGCCTTTATCTGTTTTAAATACTGAGGCTTCCTTTAGTGTGGCTCACCTCCCTCATTATTCTCTTTCAGAAATATTCTGAAGATACATTTTATACGTATGAACTTCACAATTACTTTGCCCAGTTTATAAAAGCTTCCTACTGGTGCACTAAATTTACAGAGTAACTTAGGGAAAATTGTTCGGGCATTACAAATCAGTGCAGTTTGGGACCAATTTGTTCTGGGACCCACATATTAATTATTCATATAGAAAAAATTTAAAACTAGGTCCCTACTTAAGCAAAAATAAATCTTGGATGGATTGAAAACCTAATGAGAGGAGGAAACATCTTTGTATTCTTTAGGAGCGTTTAAAATTTTTCTTCATTGGGGTGCCTGGGTGGCTCAGTCGGTTGGGCGTCCGACTTCAGCGCAGGTCATGATCTCACACTCTGTGGGTTCGAGCCCCGCGTCGGACTCCGTGCTGATAGCTCAGAGCCTGGAGCCTGCCTCGGATTCTGCGTCTCCCTCTCTCTCTGCCCCTCCCCTGCTCATGCTCTGTCTCTCTCTGTCTCAAAAATAAATAAAAATATTTAAAAAATTAAATAAAATAAAATTTTTCTTCATTTAGCTCTCGCAAATTTTTAAGTTTATTTTAAGGTATTTTTTGTTGTTGTTGCTACTGTAAATGGGTGTATCTTTTTTTTTTTTTAACCTGTGAAAAAACTTGAGTTTTGTGTTAATTTTGTAACTGATGACTTTGGTGAATTCAAAAAAAAGGTTTGTAGTAGTTTTTTAGTTGATTCTCCCGGGTTTCAGGTAGAGAATCTTATCAACAGCAAACAGTGATAATTTCAAACCCTCTTGTACAATTTACTTTAATTAAAACAATTTTTTTGAGAGAGAGAGAGAGAGAAAGCATGTGTGAGCGAGCAGGGGAGGGGAAGAAGGAGAGAGAGAGGATCTTAAGCAGGCTACACGCTCGGGTCCGAGCCTGACACAAGGCTTGATCCCATGATTCTGGGATTACGACCTGAGCTGAAATCAAGAGGCGGACGCTCAACCAAATGAGCCACCTATGTGCCCTTCCTCTTTTACAATTTAATCCAGTATATCTTGTCTGGTTTGGGTTTTTTTGTTTGTTTGTTTGTTTTTTGTTTTTTTGTCTCTCATTTAATCGCATTAGCTGGTATCTCAGAGCAACATTAAACACCAGTGCTGACAGTGGGGTGTTTCTTTTTCCTGATTTTAGTTGGAATGATTTGCACAGAAAGCTTAATGCTGGACTTGGGACTAATGTAAATAAGGGCTATGGTAAGGAAGCACATATATATTACTATTTTACTGAGAATTTAAAGACAGCTGAGGGGTGCCTGGGTGGCTCAGTCGGTTGGGGGGCCGACTTCGGCTCAGGTCATGATCTCGCGGTCTGTGAGTTCGAGCCCTGCGTCGGGCTCTGTGCTGACAGCTCAGAGCCTGGAGCCTGTTTCGGATTCTGTGTCTCCCTCTCTCTGACCCTCCCCCATTCATGCTCTGTCTCTATCTCAAAAATAAATAAACGTTAAAAAAAATTAAAAATAAAATAAAATAAAGACAGCTGATACTAGAAATGGAAATTTTTCAAATGCCCTTTCAACATCTACGGTGATGTTTATGGGATTTTTATCCTCAGATCTATTAATAGGCTGAATTATATGAATAAAATCCCTGATATTCAAGTACTCTTGTATTCCTGTATGCAATCCCTCTTGGTCATGGTATGTTATTCTTTCCCCGTGTGATTGGACTCAGTTTCTTAGTATTCGGCTAGGATTTTTGTGTGGACACGAGTGAGACTTGTTAGTAATTTTCCCTTTTTGTGCACAGTCTTTGCTGTGTTGTTGGTGTTGATAGTAAACCCACTTTATATAAAAATTTAGAAGTCTTTCTTTCCACGTGCTCTGGGATCATGTAATATTACAATGTGTCACTGTGATGTTTTTAATATTGCAGCTCTTTTAAAACCTCATCTGTTTTCCCGTTCAGTAGGTCTATTAACATTTCTAGATAGTCTGAAATCAATTTTGATAAATTTTATGTTTTGCTACTTAATTACTCATTTCGTTCAAGTTCAAATGTGTGGAGTCAAGATGATTCTTTTCTTTTATTTTTTTTTTTTCTGGATCCTTGTGGCTTAGTTTTTGATAGATTTTCCCCATTATTTATTGGTTGGGTTGGTTAACAATTTATGTATTTCATTGTTTTCCCCTATATAACCAGATTTTGTATTTAATTACTATCTTAATTACACTGTTGCCTTTATGATTTGTTCCTTTCTGCTCTTGTCTTTATTCACTTTCTTCTTTTACTTTACTTGGTTCTTATCCTAAATTCTTAAATTAAATTAATTTTTGTATTTCCTTCATTTATTGATATAAATAATTAGACTGAGTACTGTTTGAATAGCAGAGGTTCCGATATGTGGCGTTCCCTTATTATTTTTCCCTTATCTATTTTCTAGATGTTTTCATTTTTATTTGGATTTCGTTGAGTTATATCAAAGAGAACTTTACCTAGTAGTAGCTTTCTCCTTTGGAGCTTGTTATGAATTCCTACTTTTATTGCTTTGTTGCCATGGTTGCTGTTTGTTCTCTTTCCACTTTGAAGAAGAGGTCACTACATATACAACTTTATTATATGCGTGTTATATATGTATATATATGCTGTACATACAACTTTGCTTTTTACCTCTTAGTCTTTTCCATTTGTGTCCCCTATGGTATGGAACACAATCCTTGGACATGGTAGGAATTCAATAAAAGCTAGATTTTTATTATTTAAAAAGTTTTTAAATGTTTATTTATTTTTGAGAGAGAGACAGAGACAGAGACAGAGCATGAGTGCCCAGAGAGAGAAGGAGACACAGAATCTGAAGCAGGCTCCAGGCTCTGAGCTGTCAGCCCAGAGCCCGACGCGGGCCTCAAACTCACAAACCATAAGATCATGACTTGAGCTGAAGTCGGACACTTAACTGACTGAGCCACCCAGGCGCCCCTAGATTTTGATTATTTTAAATGGTTATGAGAGTTTTTGGTTTGAAACTTTTGGCCAGAAAATGAGCCTTGTTCCTTGGTAAGCATCTGGAAGGAAGAGGAGACTCTGTTTGATGTATTGTGTTCACCTTGGGGGTCACACCATTGAGTTTGGTTTGGGCAGGTCTCAAGCAACATATTGACACTTCATAAGTGTAAACTTTCACAGGTTTGGCAAGCTTCTGAGATATTTCCCCCTCCGCCAGGGTAACACTCGGTAAAGGTGAAAACTCTTTACGATATCAAACAAACAGCCCAAACCAAACAGTGCAACATTCAAAGTCACTGAAAACCAATTTACAGCTGTATTGGAGTTTCCCCGAGGATGTCTGTCAGGTGGAATCCAATTCATAACCTAACATCAACCTTACGATATTCTTCTCTCCTGCTGATTCTCTTCTCGTCTCTCCCATGAGAGTTGCTTCTCTCTGGCAGCAACTAAAATGGCTCCCCTGCCCTTCTTTCCAGACTCCCTCAAAGTTTATTCTCTTTCCATCCCTATCATGAATTCTCACTTTGCCCATTCCTCGCCTTTCCAGATATATTTCTCCATGCTTCCCTCACCCCATCAGCCATGGTGTTCTTTTTCTTCCAAAATACCACCTGTCAATCTGTCTTTGAGTGCTTCCTATTCATCAGCTATTTTTATCTATTATCTTGACCAATATAACAAAAAATAACTAAATGGTGGGGTACAAGGTTGTCAAATGCAGAATTTTTCTCAGAGCAATCAGGAGCAAACTTGTAAAAATACTCATACTTTACAAATTCTTGTCCCAATTATATAGGGGTGATGTATTTGTATACAATATAAATTATTTTATAGGTGTGACTTCTTCACATATAAGGGAGATAAGATTGCATATATTTGTGAAAACAATCTCATCCACTTATAGTAAGTCGGTACAGTTCGGATTTTGTTCCTGAGATGTACGTTTGTCTTTCTTCTTAATGAGGAATAAATTTGTACACACAGTGTCTTGTTTTGCAGTCTAAAGAAGGTGCATTTATTGTCAGAGATTCGAGACATTTGGGATCCTACACGATTTCTGTGTTTATAAGAGACAGAAGGTAAGCAATTTTTGTTTGATGTTGAATTATTTATTTTGAGAGAGAGGGGGGAGAGTGCATACACATGCATGTGTGTGGGGGATGGGGCAGAGAGAGAGGGAGAGAGAGAATGCCCAGAAGGTTCCGTGCTATCAATACAGAGCCTGATGTGGGGCTCAAACTTACGAGCTCTGATATCACGATCTGAGCCAAAATCAAGAGTCAGACGCTTAACCAACTGAGCCACCCAGGCGCCCTAGAGCTGGAAGGGAAGCAAGTGTGCTTTTGTTCACTTTAGAGTAACAGTCCTTGGGACACTCTGTCTTATGGAGACATTGTCACATGGAGAAAGTGAAATCGTGGTATAGAAGCTTGCTGGCTTGGAAGTTAGTACAACCAATCTATTCAAGTTGCGTCCCTAACCAGCTCTGTGTATGACATTGGATAAGTTATGTGACTTCTCCCATCTCTTTTTCTCAACCGTGAGGGAGTTGGCTTAGTTGTAGCAGACACTGGTGATGCTTTTCTCATATCCACTGGTTTACCTTGCGTTTAGCTGTAGAGAGTTCTGCACTCGGCACACCTCCCATGCCTTTCTGCCTGAAGATGTTCTCTGGCTGTGGGAACTCGTGGTCCCCATGGGTAGACGGGAAGTGCCTGAGAGTTAGCATCCTAGGAGTGCCCCTCTATCAATGAGGAATGGAAGATTAGCTCCTCAGCTGCTTTGCACTTTAGTGGGGCAACTCTCAGATGTGTTCCACAGTCTCTCATAGCTTTCCAGAGCCCTAGGAGCTCATCGTAAACTTGCTCATCAATATACCCTCTATCGGCTTTCCCCCTTTCTTTGTTTCCTATATCCTTGCATCCCTCACAGTGCGTTCATTCGTTTATTGAACTGATACTTGATATTCAGCAAATGCGTATAAGTGTCCCTAGTGGGCTCTACTTTTTCGGACATTGGAGTTGTCAATCAGACAACTTTGGCTGAAGTTATGTTAGAATCTAAGGCCCCAATAAGATAGCTAAGGCATTTACCCAGGGGTAGTGAGGTATCTGTTGAATCCAACCCACTCTGCAGCGTATAGTGTTCGTAAGATAAAAGTTTTACAGGCGGGGTCCCTGTTGCTTAATGAACTGACTTCGTTCCAAACGGATCTTTTGCTTATTTACTAATTCACATTTTATTGATTGTAGAAATATGGAGGCTACCATCAAACATTATCAGATTAAAAAGAACGACTCGGGACAGTGGTACGTGGCTGAAAGACACCTCTTTCAGTCAATCCCCGAGTTGATCTGGTATCACCAACACAATGCAGCAGGTAAGTCAGGGGCAACAGGCTGGGAGAGTCAGCGAGCCAGGCCCCAGACAGGCAATGCATCTGTGGTCTCAGACACTTAACAGGAGCAAATGCCCCTGCAGAAATATGTGAGAGCCTGAAATACAACCGGTATTCTGAACACTTCTCCTTATTGATGCTTCTTTGTTTTTATAGTCAGGCGACAAGAGGTAAGTTGATTCTTTACATTTCTGCCAGGTTAGAAAAATGATAGATGGCAGAGAAGCAAAAGGCAATTTAATTATCAGTGCATTTGTTTCTGAAATTTACACACGGCTAAATGTAATAGAATTTCAAATATCCTAAATAATCATGCTTCCTTCTCTTTGCCCCCATAAGTTTGCTCTCTACTTCAGTTGTATAGACAATTACCCTTAAATAGCTCGTTCTCTGTTCTTTCTTATTTGGAGGACAGAAAAAATTATATAGGATGCAGCCCTTAAATTACAACGTGGCTTAAATAGGCAGAAGCATCATGGAACCCCCGTCCCCAGGTGTTCTTTGCAGTAGTTGCTATTTTTGCAAACGTATCATCAATGGAAAGATACAGGATTCCAGTAAGTTCCACCACAATTTCAATCACAGCTCTGGCCTTCAGCCCTCACCCAACCTGTATTGGACCACTTTGAACTCATAGGGGAATCTTCTTACCTCAACGTTATGGAATATGGAACCCACTGTAACTTTTCGTGTTGTTTTGACTTCTGGTCATACAATACTTTTTAAGATTTCTCTCATGAAAAGTTGTGTTGACAAAAAAAAAAAAATCCCTTTTGGAAAGTGGCCACTTTTCCTTGACACTAGTTCTAAATATCAAGAATAAGTCCAAGGAAATTTTTATCCACTTATGGGATGAGTCTGCATGGATATTCCAGATGGTCACTGGGGGTTTGGTTAGAGAGGAAGTAGCAGTGAGTCTGAGTGGGGCGAGGGAGGACATATTTGTGTCTAGAGATGGAAACCCTTAGAATAAGGAGATCAGTTCTGAGTTTTTTTCTTCATACCCCTCTTTCCCTTCCCTTCAAAGACAAAATTTGAGAAACAGAGTGGTTATGGTGGTGAGGTTAAAAGAAAGATACTAAGGTAGCTCAGGATGTGCTGACATGAGAAGATGTTAGTGATAAGTTGTTTAGTAAAGAGAAAAAAAGTGCAAAGCAGTATATGAGAATATAGTGCCGCTTTTGTAACAGAAGATTTAAAAATATGTATGCATAGGAAAATTCTGTTAAATTTTATGTAATAATTTTCAAACTAACAAGATTATAACAGACTACAAACTTAATGCTTACCTCTGGGGAATGACACTGGAGGTAAGGGAAGCTTTGATTTTCTGCCGTATAGATTGCTTTAAGGTTTGGTATTTTCGTTTGAATGGACATAAATTATTCTTATAATGTATCAAATACCACACAGATCATCTTTAAAAGATCAAGCGAAACATCAAGAAAAGCAAAACTTACAACTATGGCTGCTGCTTATTAGAGAGAAAAGAAAGCAAAAAAGATATAAGAAAACAAGAAAAGAAGGATGATAAGAGGAGAGCCCTGGGAACGCAGAAATAGCTGGCATTTACTGAAGACTTAATTTGGACCCGACCCTGTTCTGAGTGCTTTCATGTGTATTTATTTATTTAATCTTCAGAACAACCCTATGAAGTAGGTTCTGTTAGTATCTCGATCTTACAGATGAGGAAACAGAGGGATGAGTTGTACTCAAGATTGCATAGTTAATAATTGTGCTGAGATTTGAACTCAAAAAAAAATCTTTGAAACAGTTGGAACCATCGAACCCCCTGGCTCCACAGTCTGCACTAAAGGACTGCTGTATCCTCCAGAAAGAGACGAACCATACCGTTGGAGGGTACTTTGGAGGGCCAGTTTCAGAAAAGGCTGTGAATCAGAGCCCATGACTATCCTGTCTACTTGTTGACTTCTGGTCAATTTGGTTCGTGACAATCCGTCTCTTTGCCAGAGGCAGGGACAATGCCACGGGAGTGACAGACTTCTTGCTGTCAAAGAGAGAGACTATCATTAAACCACTGGTAGTAAATCACAGAATAAAAATGTTTAGCAAATAAGAATCTTGAAATTAGAGGGAAGTGTTAGGATCGCAAAGAAATTCCTCATTATGTTCCTTATTTGGACAATGTGTTATAGAGTCCCAGCTTGATGAGGGCTCTAACCTCAATTAGGTCTTCAAAGTCACTGGTTAATATCCTTTCCAGCTTTCTCTTCAAACTTCTACCGTTCTCCTCTAGACTCCTTCTCCAATATTATCCACTGCCCTGTCAGCAAATCCCTAGCTGTCCACTTCATTAAGAAAACTGAAGCCAGCAGACAGGAGCTCCTTCAGGCTTACCCTCCTCCCCTCACTCCCTCCAGGAGTGGTCGGGACAAGCCTGTGCCCCTGTTCCCTCCATTCCTCTCCTGCTGGGACCAACCACCGTCTCCCCTTCCTTTCTCTCCTGTATCTCTTACATTTCCTCTGAACTTCTCCCTTTAGCCTGGAAACGTGCTTAAGGCTTTATTATTCAAAAAGCAAAAAACCCAAAGCCCTCCCTTGGTCCTTTCTTCTTCCTTTAGACATTACTCTTCTAAGTCATGTTTTTTTGGAAAAATATGTCCACATCTACCGTCTCCACTTGCTCATTTCCATTTGCTTTTTTTTTTTTTTTTTTTTTTTTTTTTTTTTTTTTTTTTTTGAGAGAGAGAGATTGAGAAAGAGAGAGAGTGCAAGAGTGTGAGCAGGGGAGGGGCCGAAGGCAGAGGGAGAGAGAGAATGTGAAGCGGGCTCCACACCCAGGGTGGAGTCCCACGTGGGGCTCAATCTCATGAGCAGAGATCATGACCTGAACCGAAATCAAGAGTTGGACGCTCAACAGACTGAGCCACCCAGGTGCCCCTCCATTTGCTTTTTAAACACGTGTAATGTAGCTTCTGCTTCCATTGCCCTATGTTTTACCAGTGATCCCCATATTGACCTATAGGGTGATGCTTTTTAGTTCTTGTATTTTCAAGCCCTCTCTGCTATATTTGGCAGTGTCACCCCTTGAAACTCCCTACTTACCAGATACTTTGACCCTGCGCTTTCTTGTTCTTGAACTCAGATATTCCTTATAGGTCTTCCCAATGAGTCTTAATTCTACTCTTCTTTAAACATTGGTGTCTGCAGGGATCTGTCCCCAATCACTTCTCTTCTCGCCCTAGACATTTCCCTTGGCAGAATTCTTCTGCCTGGTAGTCCTAGGTACTTGCAATCCCACAGGCCCTGAACTTCAGTGATGAGATGGAATTCGTCATCTTAATCACTGCTTTCCCTCCAAACCTGCTCCCCTTCCTGTTGTCTGTCTCAGATGATGCTGTCATCATTCTGTCCGTTACAGGGGCTGGAAACATAGGAGTCTCAAGAGATGCTTGCATTCTCCTTGATAGATAGCTCTTTCTCGTCCTCCTCCTCCTCCCTTTCCTCCTCCTTCTCCTCCTTCTCTTTCTTCTCAGTCATTAGAAAGCTTGTTTTATTGAAGTGTGGTTGCCATACAATAGTATATTTGATTATGTAACATAGTGATTGAACATTTGTATAAATAACAAAGTGATCACCACAATAAATCTAGCTACCGTCTGTCTTTGAGATCGACCTAGAAGAGTGTCTTGCACACAGTAGGCACTGAGTGATGCTTCTTTCTGTTCTTATACTGGCCAAGTTTGTTTCTTTTAGCTTTTGCACGTGCTGTTCCATCTGCCTGGAATGTTTTTCCTCCTAATCTTTGTAAGATGGTTCCTTGTCAATGAATGTCAGCATAGCTGCCATCTTGTCGGAAGGGCCTTCCCTGAGCACCCATTCGATAGAACCTCTGTTGCAGGTACTCTGCGTGTACTCATCTTCTGCTTTCTCTTGTGCGTGCATGCATTTGTTTATTTTCTCTTCCCCCACTACAATGTAGGCTCTGTGGGAGCAAAGAACATCACTGTCTTAGTCACTGCTGTCTCCTACCAGTTAGTTAATGCTTGGTGCAAAGCAGGCCCCAAAGAAATATTAGTTAAAGAAGTAAATAATTAATGCTTGTTGAACTAAATGAAATTGATGATACAGAATACTACATACGGACCCAATCAAAAGAAGTCTCATTTACTCTACCATTTTTTTTTTTTTAGAAAAAAAACAATTCTTGAAAAGTAGGGTTGGGAAATGGGTCCACTTCAATACTACTGGTAGTTGAATGAATTAGTGCATTTTTTTTTTATACATGCTTTGATCAAGAAGTCACATTTTCAGGAATTTATTCTAAGACGATAATTTGAGAGGTACATAAAAATTTATGTTCAAAACATACAGCGTCTTTTACAATAGTGAAATTTTAGAAATAACTTTAAGCTCTGTTTATAGTTATTAATAAATATCAACGACATATTGAGTGTAAAAAGCTTATAGCAAAACATTCACTTTTCTGTGAAACATTGGGTGCATATATGCTTTCAAATACAAATTTGGAGGTTTTTGCAAAGGTGTTCACCAGAATGATAATGATGTAGCTCTGGTATATCATGTATAATGTGTGTCCAAATATTATTTTATGAAAATGGGGAAAATAAACAGATCGATGTAAAATACTGTTTTTTTTTATTTTGGCCTAATTTATTTGAAGAATGGCACTGTCTTCTACTATATTGGCTTTCTTTTTTACTTTTATATTAGTAACTAGACTTGAAATACTGATTCCTCTTCCTCCCCAGGTCTCATGACCCGTCTCCGCTACCCGGTTGGACTGATGGGCAGCTGTTTGCCAGCCACAGCGGGTTTCAGCTATGGTAATGTATGCACGTGGACTCAAGTGCCGCCTCAAATCTGGGAAAGAATCTCCCCCAAGTTCCCTCGGCGTTCTTTAAATTCTTAGCTTTTCTGAGATACCTAGATAGGTTTCTTCTCAAAGTTGGAATCCTCCTTCTGAGATAGTGAAGTATATGCATCTCCTAAGAGCAACTTGAACTTTGGCAAGAACCATTTCGATTTTACTTCAAATTTCACTGTACATTAGCAGGCGCTCTTTTGGTACATTAGAATTCTTTTTATTTGGGTGTTCGAGTTATTGCTCTCTGGGTACAAGCGTGGCTGGGAAATGACTGCTCCCCAAGAGAACCTGCTAAAAAGACCTGCTAAATGTCTCCTCTTCCCCTTTTAAAAATAGAACTTGTAGAAAGTTTGATTCGAACCATTTTCTAGCAAATGAGTATTTGCAAATCTGTTGAGAATAAATAAGAGCCAAAGAATTCTGTTTTGTAATTTGGTGACCCTTTGTTCCCTTACATTCCTCTCATTAGTGTGAATCAGAATGTACTGAGAAGCCGGTAAGATAATTATATCACGTAACGGGTAACCAGGACCCAGGGTCTCTATTTTAATTGGGATGGGAGAGTGATTTCAGGGTATTAGGGATGCCTAGGTTATTCTCTGTCCCTAAATGCAATGTACATAATAAAAGTTCTGTGCCATTAGCAATTTATTTAAGTTAAGCATTAAGTTTTAATTTTTAAAAAATAAACTTCTCAAAATTTTTTTAACATATAGAACAGTGCACAACTCATAACTCTATAGCTCACTTAGCTTTGCCTGTTTTGATTACTTTATCTAAATGGAATAAGACACCATACACAGTAATACACAATACCGTGTATTGTGTCTGGTTTCTTCCTCTTCACCCATGGTGTTGGGTGTGGTTGGCTCATCTCCATGGTGGTGTGGTATGACATTGCGTGACTATACCACAGTGGATTTACCCATCCTTCTTTAGATGACCATTTGGCTTGTAACCAATTTTTACCCCATAAATGATATCATTACGAACATTCTTTTGATGAGGTTCAGTAGTCATGTAAGCTCCACCAATGTTGGATATATACTTAAGAGTGGAAATACTGGGTCATAGAGCGTGTACCCATTCAGATTTAGTTAGTTTTCCAAACAGCTTATACCAAACTACACTTCAATCAATAGCGTATGGGAGTTCCAGGTGCTCCACACCTTTGCCCTTGCTAATGTTTAGTCATTCCTGTGGATTGTTTTCTTTGGTTTTCACGTTACCCAATCTGGCATGTGTAGTAATCGTATCTCATTGTGGCTTAAATTTGCATTTCCCTGAGGACTAATTATTTTGATCAATTTAGTGGCCATTTGGGTATACCCTTTTGTGAGAGAATACTCTATTCAAGTTTTTTAACTGTTAGAAATATAATTATCTGCCTTTTTCTGATTTTTTTTCATATTCTGAATACGAATTCCTTACTGGTTACACATTTTAGAAATATCTTCTCCCAATATGTGGCTTTTCTTTTCACTCTCTTTTTTAAAAATTTTTAAAATACTTATTTATTTTTAAGAGAGAGAGGGGCAGGGGCAGAGAGAGAGAGGGAGACACAGAATCCGAAGTCGGCTCCAGGCTCTGAGCTGTCAGCACAGAGCTCAATGCAGGGCTTGAACTCAGGAACTGAGAGATCATGACCTGAGCTGAAGTTGGATGCTCAACCGACTGAGCCACCCAGGTGCCCCATTCCTTTTCACTCTCTTAATGGGGTGTATTTGATAGAATTTTTATGAAGTGTAATTTGTCAATATTTTCCTTTATGGTTATATTATGTTGAATAAATTCTTGCCAATATCAAGGTCATAGATATATTCTCCCATGTTGCTTTTATTTATTTATTAAAAAAATTTTTTTTTCTCATGTTACTTTTAAAACACCTGCTATCCGGAGGGAGAGCACTTTGCAAAGTTGGCCTTTACAACTCTTTAAACTGCATTATTCTAAAGTTCCAGCAGATGGCGGTGTTGCAATATAAAAGGAGATACTAAAACAGATTGTCAAGAGGGTTATTTTATTTTTATTTTTTGTTAATTGATAACGAAATTTGTGTGTGTGTGTGTGTTTTCTTCACTTTATTTTTTTATTTTTTTGAGATTATTTTTATTTTTATTTATTTTTTTAAATATAATTTATTGTCAAATTGGCTTACATACAACACCCAGTGCTCATCCCAACAAGTGCCCTCCTCAATGCCCATCACCCGTAAGTGGGTTAATTTAAAAACAGTTCTTTTTTCTTCATTTACTTCTATGGAAGTCAAATATACCATACCACAAATTTCACTTCAAACATAGATACATGTGAGTTAGAATCCTAAACATTGGCCTTATTTATTAGATGAATTTGTTAGACTTTTTCCTAAGGAGAAAACACCAAGGCAGAAAAGCCCTTTGGGGGTGGGAGTGGGCAGAGGAACAACAGAATGAGGTGAAAAGGGGGGGGACTGGGGGGGGACCAAATGTTATGTGCCTCACAAGTTTACTCAACAGGACAAAACCAGATGGGGACATACATATTTTAGGGCCCAGGTGTAGTTTTGGTAGGTTTGTTTTAGAAAGGCAAAGCATTGCATTTCATCCTGTGTCCCTCTGGAAAGAGAACGTATGTTTTGATATCCATAATTCCTCTTTAAGTAAGTCAAGTTTATATCTTTAAGCTTGAATTCTGGAATTACACATGAAAACCACAGTGAGGGTATTAAAAATGGTTACTGTTCTGTTCCACTCATTTATAACATTTTTAACCTCTTTGTAAAAGAATAGAATAGGTCTAGATAATTCCTAAATCTTTTCCAGCTCTAAAAATTTCCCCTACTTGTAACATGGATGTTTTACTTTTCTAGAAAAGTGGGAGATAGATCCCGCTGAGTTGGCGTTTGTGAAGGAGATTGGAAGCGGTCAGTTTGGGGTGGTCCATTTAGGGCAATGGCGAGCACACATCCAGGTAGCTATCAAGGCCATCAGCGAAGGCTCCATGTCTGAAGAAGACTTCATTGAAGAGGCTAAAGTGATGACGTAAGTACAAGCAACACCCAGATCAATTTCATGCAACATTCTGGTGTTATGGAAAGAACACGGAGTTTGGAGCAGTTACACCTGGATTTGTGTCACAACTCTGCCCAAGCTAGTTGTGTGACCTGAGCAAATTATTTGATCTCTGTGTGACCTGAGTGAGTGATTTCACCTTTCCGAGCCTCAGTTTCTTCACCTGTAAAATGGGGATAACAATACCTTCGTTACTGCATCAACATGTGAATTAAGTGAGATAATCCATGAAAGTGACAAGTCTTTACAGGACTTTCTTTTTTGCTTTTCCCGGAAGCAAAAATGTTGATTTTGTCTAAATGGTAATATAAGGGTAAAGTATTTGCTTTCAGAGAATTTAAGAATCCTGAGCTCTAACAGAAGTGACTCTTTGTGGCCCCCTGGACACTGTTCCTGACTTTTGTGATTTCTCAGATCAGCATTTTGACTGAGTTGAATATGTGTCTTACATCTGTAATCTGGGTTGGATCAGGACAAGCCGATAATTTGGTATAAAGAAAGTATTTGTTCAACAATGGGGAGAAGCATTGTGGTGAAAAATGAAAACCCCAGATGGTGTCACCTCGATTCTGTTCTCCAAAGCAATTGCGTTCTGTTCTAAACTTGCAGACCTCAATGGAAAGCAAGCAAACAAACAAAGAAACCAGAATCGATAACTGGACCCATTCTCCTTTAAAGACAGAGCAATGCTGCCTCTTGGAGCTCTCAACCCATACCCCAAGTGTCCTATCGAAACATTCTTCCCATCCGCTTATAGTAAAATTAATTTCAGGAGAAGTTATATTAAACACATTTTCCAGTCATAGCAGCTTCCCAAAAGATGATTTCGTGCCCCTAGATTACCCCAGGCAGCTATCTGTCTGGAATGTGTTCCCTGATACCATTGGCATCAGACCCTAGTTTTCCTGTATCTAAAGGAGAGACAAAACATTATATTCCTCTGTGTTGATTAGATAGGTGTGATAAGAAAAGAAAGACTGGGAGACATGTGGTGCAGGGGAAGTCGAAGCCTATACTGGAATTCCTAGGAAATGTAAGAATTAGAGATGTCCAATGTCACGTTGAGAGGATTCTTGAAAGGTTCAAGCCCTACTGGGCATTTGGGGTTAAGGTTGTTGGGGAAGATGTTTTTTTTTTTTTTTTAATTTTTTTTTCAACGTTTTTATTTATTTTTGGGACAGAGAGAGACAGAGCATGAACAGGGGAGGGGCAGAGAGAGAGGGAGACACAGAATCGGAAACAGGCTCCAGGCTCTGAGCCATCAGCCCAGAGCCTGATGCGGGGCTCGAACTCACGGACCGCGAGATCGTGACCTGGCTGAAGTCGGACGCTTAACCGACTGTGCCACCCAGGCGCCCCGGGGAAGATGTTTTGAAGACAGTGGAAGATCCATGGGGTGGGGGAAATAACGATAGCTCCAGGAAGTTTACAGAGGCAGGAATGAAGCTAACGGCTTATTTTTAAGTCAGTTCAGGTGAACATAATGTACTGTTGGGTTTGAACAGTCTGTTTTTTCCTGATGTTTTTAAAGTGAGGCAGAAAAATTTCCTTCTAACATCCTGTTGCAAATACAGTCATCTTTAAAAAAGTATATACTGACACGCATTGAACTCTATCTGTGAAGCATACACATCTTGGTAATATAGTAGTACCTCCTTTTTGTAAGTGTGTAGTTTAAATGTCACCTCCTCCAGGATGTCTCCTCTGCCATGTTTGATTGGCTTTCTACTATATCACCTGTGTTAGTTCATCAATGTATTTGTCGCTGCTCCAGTGATCTTGCTAAACAAACATAGCGTAATGTTTCAATTCTCAGATGTTTGTATGTGGGTATCAGTGTGGTGGTTTTCTCATGGCAAGTCAATATTCCATTTTAAGAACGACTTTCCCGCCATTATTCTGCATACATGTAAATTGCATCCCTTAACTGAAAGTACGCTTTATGAATTAGAAAGATAAATCAGACAAAATATACGTATTTAAGATACATATCTACAGATGAAAATCATGTATAGATTCTCTGAATGCCTTTTTTCTACTGACTGGAAGTGTTTTTGCATGCTACTTATATGGTAAGATGTCAATTAATCACTCACATACATTATTTTAAGGTAAATAATCCTCCCGAGTCATTGATTTTATTTTACCTTTATAAATGAAAAGAGGTAACATTTCAAGTTATTTCTGAGTGACAGAGAAATTGGCTTGTTACACATCTTCTAAAATTATAAACATTAACTTGAACATTACTTTCCATGATTGAATGCTACATACTCCAGAAGAAACAGTAAACTTTTGAAGTTTAGATAACTAAAGAATTCTGTATTTTATTTTATCTGTATGTATTTTAATAGGTAACTTTCAAGGGTGTGTGTGTGTGTGTGTGTGGTGATTGGATTGCTGAATACAGAGAAGGGTTTCATGTTGGTAGGTATTTTTCAGTCTCCAACTTTGTTTGAAATTTTCTTTTTTTTTTAAATGCCTTTATTCTTTATCATTTTATTTTCTCTTTCTTTCTTTCTTTCTTTCTTTCTTTCTTTCTTTCTTTCTTTCCCTTCTTCCTTTTCTTTCTTTCCTTCTTTCTTTCCTTCCTTCCTTCCTTCTTTCCTTCTTTCCTCCCCTTCCTTCCTTCCTTCCTTCCTTCCTTCCTTCCTTCCTTCCTTCCTTTCTTCCTCTCTTTCTTATGCATCAATCACTGTTTCCTCCCTTCTGTCTGTATGGAAATTTTGCCTGAGCAGCCGCAGTTAGAAAAGTTGAAACCTCAGGAACAGGAACTCTTGCGAAGACCTGAGCAAGGAAAAGTAGCAACGAGGAGGCAAGGGACTTACAGGATGGAAAGCAGAAAAAAAACGATATGGGAGCACGTAATATTCTGTAGGGACTTGGGAAGTACCGCTTGAACTCTTGACCCCACTTATCCAGCGTGCACGGTGGAAAGGAAACTTCCACGTTCTCTGGGGCTGGGTTTTTCGCGTATCTCGTTGTTGACAATAATGCAGAGTTGGTACATTTCACTAACGGAGTCTAAGCGCTTCGAATCGCCGACACGAATCCGCTCACGGGCGCGTGTGTGCTCTTCCTCATCAGGAAATTATCGCACTCAAGGCTGGTCCAGCTGTACGGAGTGTGCGTTCAGCAGAAGCCCCTCTACATCGTGACGGAGTTCATGGAGAACGGCTGCCTGCTGAGCTATCTCCGAGAGAGGAGGGGAGCGCTGCGGAAGGAAATGCTGCTGAGCATGTGCCAGGATGTCTGTGAGGGAATGGAGTATCTGGAGAGGAGCCGCTTTATTCATCGGGATTTAGTAAGTACCCCGCAAACTCGCTGATGTTTTACGTGTTGCCTTTCGGAAGATCAGGACACTTGAGGACTTTCAATATTTAATTTTACTTATTTATCTTTAAATATGTATTTATTTATTTTGAGAGAGAGAGAGAGAGAGAACATTGGTGGGGGGGGGCAGAGAGAGAGAGAGGGAGAGAGAGAATCCCAAGTAGCCCCTGCACTGTCAGCACAAAGAGCCCTGCGGGGCTTGAACCCATGAACCCTGAGATCATGACCTGAGCCCGAAATCAAAAGTTGGATGCTTAACCAACTGAGCCACCCAGGCACCCCAAGGACTTTGAATATTTTCAATAAAATACCTTTGGCTTCATTTCTAAACGCTTTCCTATTCATGTAATTCTCTGGGACATGTGGCTTTCTTTTTAATTACTCATTAATGCTGCAGCCAAGTAAGGTGTTACTCTAAATATGCCTGGAACTAATGAACTACCACACTGACCAACCAACCAAAGCGAATTTACTTTTCTTTCCTGTCGCCTTCCCTGTCTTCTTCCATTGCTTCCACTTTCTTCCTTTCAACCAATGATCAAATACAGATTGAATGGCAGTATATGCCAGGCCTGCGGCCGGGCACTGGAGAACAGCCAGGGATGAAACTGCCCCCATGTGGAGGTGCTTTGGTTGTCACAGTATCGCAGTGGCATTGCTGGCACGACTGAGGAGGACGAGAAATGCCAAATCATTCTGTTCTGTGATACTCGGAACATTATGTCCTAAAAAAACAAGCAAACAAAAAATTAAAGCTTGTCTTGCCCCAAATGCTAATGGCTCTGCTTTCCTGCCTGGCTACCTTGCCTGGAAAAACATTTTGTATCCACTCCATATTTATTCATGATGTTCACACTAATCCTTCTCTGCCTTTCCATGTCTCAGTTCTAAGTCCAAAAATTAACCCCAACGAGAACTTGAGAATCTGTGAGATGTCACTGGTATCATCACTGAGGGGGTCATCCTGTACTTCCTCCCGTGACCAGAGGGACTTTATTATCTATCATTCAGGCTAGAGCATTCTGGGGAGAGAAAGGAGGCATAATTTCATTGGCCTAGCACACTTATTGCTAGACTTACAGGTGACGAAGCATTCTCATGGCATTTAATATTTACCACTTCCTATAATAGTTAATAGTTCACATTGTTTATACAACTATTAGACTCTAAATTCCCTGATATCAATGCCTAGACTTCCGAGCTGTGTGATGAGAACACAGATTACAGAGCAGTTTTCTCAGATTTAGCTGCGCCTTAGAATCACATGGGAACTTCTAAAACATCACGATACCCAGGCCATGCCCCAGACCAATTAAATCAGACTCTCTGGGGGTAGAATCTAGCCATAAATATTTTTTGAAAATTTCCCTGGTGAGCTCAGTGCGTAGCCAAGATTCACAACCAGTGCTCTAGAGCTAGACTGCCTGGGTTAATATCTCACCTTTGTTTCTTACTAGCTGTGTGAGGTTGGGCAAACTCGTTAACTAGTACAGTGGTATTAATTATAGCAGCTTCCTCCTATGGGCTTGTTGGGGGAATTACATGCATTAATATGTGTAAGCCCTTACACCTGCTCCTGGCATAGAGCGAGCTCAGCAATGCTAACTATTGCTATTCCAGAGCTACATTATCATTCTGTATCCCTCATGGTGCATTTCCCCATCTTCAGTACGTAGTAGCTATCGAGCAAATTTTGGAATGGATGGATATGGCATGAATTCCACCTAGCTTACTTTCCTAGTCTCTGCAGGTTGGTCTTTTCTGACGGGGATTAGAATTCAAAACTCAGTCACTCTGTTTGTTCCAAAGTGGCTCTCTCAGGTCCTCCTATCCTTGGTTTCTTCCTCGATTGCTTTCTTTTGTGTTCTATTCCACTTACCTTCATGCCAGTTAAAATGTATCAGTTAACCAGGAGTCTTTTCCCTGTCAAGGGCTTGCCTTGTGGTTTGGCTTTGAGATCCTTGCTGGTATTTGTGAAACTCTTCCAAATTGACTCCTCCTAGCTTGCCATTTTTAGTTCCTTGCCTTTGTTTTTGGACTAGCTGACCCACATATGAGCTTAGAAGAGAAAAAAAAAAGATCAAACAGTGACTGATTTACATGAGGCTAAATACCAAATCAGTGATTTTCTTTGACTAAGCTCTCTGAAAATGGATTATTTTGGCATCAAATACATTGTCTCTGCATTATTTAAAAATACACATTAATTTTAATGCCAGGATTCATAGTTTAACATCTCTTTGATTTAGTCTTCCCATTTATCAAAGATACTTCTTGCGAATGATTAAAAACTTTTAGAAGAAAAAGTATTAAAATTTCTTTTTCTTTTTCTTTTTGTTATTTCTTTGAAGCATCATTAAAATCCATCATGTAAGGGCAGATATTGAGTCATATGTGGCATTGACAGGTGTCACCATAAAAATAAAATGGCTGCTCATACAGGAAAGTAGTGTGGGGGTCCAAATAAACTAAGAAAAAGGAGAGTAGAAACTCTTGAAAGAAAAAACTATCTTCAAACTTGGATTCCTTTCTTCTTTTTATAGGCAGCAAGGAATTGTTTGGTCAGTGCTGCAAGTATAGTAAAAATATCAGACTTTGGAATGACGAGGTACGTGATATATATATATTTTTTGTTTGTTTGTTTGTTTACTCATAAGAGGGAATCTTATATCTGTCTACTGACAAACTGAAAATGTTAATAGCATTTTTTTTTTCCTGTGAGGAAAGTATTGATGTGGTTGTTAGGCCTGTTGCCCTGCTTTGAATTTTAGGACATAAACCAATTTTAGCTGTGAGTTAAATGGATATTTTGGACTATTTTGATATTTTTTCAGGTTATTTTCAGGCATATCTTAAAATTTATAATATTTCTCAATCTACTCATCATCATAAAAAGGTTAAAAAAAGCTTTTCTGATATATGTATATTTCTGAAAGAAAAAAAGAATAAATTTGTTTAGCTCTGATTTTTCTGTGTCATCATCATGCATTTCTTTTTGTTGTTGTTGTTAGTTTATTTATTTTTCCAGAGAGACAGCAGGGGAGGGACAGAGAGAAAGAGGAAGAGAGAGAGAACAGAGGGAGAGAGAGAATCCCAAGCAGGCTCTGCACTGTCAGCACAGAGCCTGATGTGGGGCTTGAACTCATGAACTCTGAGATCATGACCTGCGCCGAAATCAAGAGCCAGGTGCTTAACCCATTGAGCCACCCAGGCACCCCCATCACGTATTTCTATTATCCAATGTAGTAGCTGACTTTAAGACTGCGACTCAAGTGTAGAAAATCTAACCTTATTTTCTACAACTCAATGCAATTTATATTTTGAGTCCCCTTTCCTTCAGGTTGCTAAAAACTTAATTCCTGTGACTTCAGGATTTCTCTCTGATTCCAAGGTCAAATTCAAATTCTGTATGTTTCATGGGGCCACATATTAGAGAGGACATGTCTGCCCTTGTTATCCATTGGCACTGGTGTCCTTGCAGGCACTGTCCTCCTGCTTTGTCCTTGGCTGAACATCTGCACAGGTGGCTGTCGATTCATCCCAAATTTTTGTCTGCAAGATGCTGTCATACTGGAATTCGCCATGATTAGAAAACCCCCTGGAGCTATCTATCCAAGGCCGTATTTACCTAAGCACATCCACAGCTCTTTATTTTCCGGAATCTTTTTGCTTTTCCTGGGGCTTGACCTGGGGAAGAGGCCCAGGCTCTGTTTTGCTCTTGAATCCCACCAACCTATTGTGGGAAGTGGGGCCTTTTTCTCATGCAATGTGATCGAGGCAGCCCTTGTAGGGTAAGAGTACAGGACCCTGTCTCTGCCGCCCCCTAATGTCTAATACGCCTTCCCTTTCCCTTTATTGTCTCCCACCTCCCAGCTGCAGGGGTCTTTTTCTGGAGGGATGGGTGGTGGTGGTGAGATGTCACTCTTATTTATGGGCCATTCTCCCAAATATTTTGTTAACAACTCAGTCCTTCTCCTTCTCCAGAATGTTTAGAACTTTGAAACTCCAAAGCTATGAAAAATGGCTCTTTCCCTTTTGTTTTCTATTACCCACTCTTTCCCTTAGTGGAATGACCTCTGGCTCAAGAAAGCACTTAAAGGTGGGCTGAAGTAGCGTATGTGGGGAAAAAAAAGAGAGTGTGAGGAAGCAGTAATAAATAATTCAAAAATACTATGCTGCCCACTCCAGGGGCTACACAGCACGACTTAGTTATCATCTCTTCTCTCCACGTTCCCATACTTGGATGCTCCTGCCTACAATTCTCAAAAAAGAGAGAAGTTTAATATTTTTGTAGTTTTTAAAAGGAGGTGGTAGTTATTATTGATTTCATATAGGGCCATTTTAACGCACTGGCAATTTTTTACAACAAATGTATTATATTCAATATTTTTATTTTCCCCTTCCTCTGCCTCACAAAACATCTATGCATGAGGAAAGAAAATAAGGCACCTAACCTTGAATTTGTTATTTGCCATATATATACATTTATTTATTATTTTTTTAATGTTTGTTTACTTTTTGAGAGAGAGAGAGAAACAGAGTGTGAGCAGAGGAGGGGCAAAGAGAGAGAGGGAGACACAGAATCTGAAGCAGGCTTCAGGCTCTGAGCTGTCAGCACAGAGCCGGATGCGGGGCTCAAACCCAGAAACCATGAGATCATGACCTGAGCTGAAGTCGGACACTTAGCCAACTGAGTCACCTAGGCGCCCCTATTTGTTACTTTTCATTTTATAGCTTTGGTTATTAGAGCATCAGCATGCTCCTTTGCAGAATTAAGAGTTTGTCGTAACTAAGGTGGTCAGTGGGTTACCAATTCCAATCGATTTTGAAGAATTGCTCTGGTTTTCTGAAACCCAAATAAAATAAACAGAATTGAGGCTTGGTTTGGTGAGGAATCACTGTATAGGATACTTTCCCACTTTGGTAAACAAGAGAAGGTATGCAGAACATTTCTGGGGTGAAATGCTTTCTCTTTTAGAACTTGAAGTAGACTAAGGGGGGTTGAACTAAACTGAACTTGGAGGTATTTAGCACAAGGTGTTTTGGATCTAATAACCTTTGGATCTAATAACCTTAGGTACGTTTTGGATGACGAGTATATCAGTTCTTCTGGGGCCAAGTTCCCCATCAAGTGGTCCCCTCCTGAAGTTTTCCACTTCAACAAGTACAGCAGCAAATCTGACGTCTGGTCGTTTGGTGAGTAAATTTGATATTCATTTGATGGTGGCTGATTTAATACAAGGCCAGTCTTTTTTAAGGTTTGAGTTTTTAATATGATGTGGCATTTGAAAAAGGTCTTTTTGCAACTGTGCTTCTATCTTAGGTGTTCTAAACACATCCAGGCTGTCTTTGGCAACTTGTGTCATGCACCTTCTTACAGAAGTCTACTTTTGGATCTTTTCCTTTCCCATTGAGCACTTGCTGTAAAACTATAACAAAGAGTCTACTGATCTAGAAAACAAACTCAGCCAACTTTTCTACACCACACAGACTTGCAAGGAAAAGGAATCTTAAGGTGTCACTGAATTTTGAGTGTAATTCATACAATTCATTGTCTGACTACGAAGCAACTCCACCTCATTTATTCCATTACCTTCAAACTTGGTGGAATTTAGATGTTGGCCTCCTTGGGAACTGTCAACTGGAATTTATATTGTGTAACGTTCTTCACTGAGGAGGAGACACCGTAGACCGTGTCCAGTAGAGTTTGTGCTTCAAGTTGGTTTTCAAGAAGTGGCAATAAATGTGCAATAAGCTATTCTCTTTAGCCCAGACCTCTCCCGATAGCTTCTTGGGTTTGGAAAGACATCTGAACCCTCAGAAGGGTGTGAATGTTATTGTCCACATAAGGTTAAGCTTGTATCATTGATCTCTTTAGCTGTTGACTGACTTGTGGTCGTCTTGGCAGGTGACATTTTAAGTTCTACGGGAGAGCAGTTAAGTTGTGAGATTCATGGATAGAAACACAAGGACCTCATCAAGTGGCTGCAGAATAGTTAGAATTTCTGAGCTTTACCTGACCACTTGTCTCTACTTCCCACTGGACAGGGAGCTTCTTGAGCACACGGACTGGTCTCGTTCTTAGAATCTTCTGGCTCTAGCAGACTCCTGGCCTCTAATCAATGCATAATACATATTCTTAGAATAAGTGAATAATTAAATGAAGTCCAGATGAGAGCATTGAAGGAGTTTCACTGATCAATCAATCAATCAATCAATCAGTGATTATAGAATATCTGCTTAGGTACCAAGCCCTTGCTAGATATTCCACCCTACCCAGCAGCCTCATCTTTTAGTGGGAAGAGGGGTACATGTGCCATCTACTGGTCGGGAAACTCTTGGCCTTAGCAGGCAGCAGAGGCTCCCACAATTCTGTCATTTTCCATGGAATGGCAGAGGGAATGGCAGAATGTTGATTTCAGGGTGTGAAGACATGAGCATACTTAGAAACAAAAGTGCTGGCAGCACTTGGCTTTCATTAGGGAGGCAAGTCAAGACCAACGGGAAAGAAAGGCATTGTTTTTACTTGGAATGTTTTCAGATGAGAGGCCTGTTCAAAAACTCCAGTACACATAGTCTGATTCCTAGACAGAACCGTTCTCATTCTGGATGATTATAATTCAGAGGCTAGAAGAGGGAAAGGAGGCCTTGTGGTTGGAAACAGTTCTTGCCGTTTCAAGTAACCTCTTGTTTACGTGCATTTTATGTGTAGGAGTTTTGATGTGGGAAGTTTTTACAGAAGGAAAAATGCCTTTTGAAAATAAGTCAAATTTGCAAGTTGTGGAAGCCATTTCTAAAGGCTTCAGGCTGTACCGTCCTCAACTGGCACCAATGTCCATATATGAAGTCATGTACAGCTGCTGGCATGAGGTGAGTGTCCCCTGCTTTCCTACGAAGTTGGCATTCCCGGCATCTGAGAACAGACCTGAGTGTCACAAGCGTTACCTGAGGACTCCAGCATGGCAGGAAGAGGGGTTGTTTCCTGATAATGATCCTTAAGAGCCAGAAGTACTATTTCTTTTTTTTTTAATTAAAAAAATTTGTAACGTTTCTGTACTTTTTGAGAGAGAGCAATAGAGAGCACACGAGCAGGAGAGGGGCAGAGAGACAGAGGGGGACACAGAATCCGAACTGTCAGCACAGAGCCCGATGCGGGGCCACGAGACCATGACCTGAGCTGAAGTCGGACGCTTAACCGACTGAGCCACCCAGGCACCCCCAGGAGTACTATTTCTATGTGAAACTGCCACCATAAGGTCGTTAGTCTATTTTGTTTTTATTTATTATTATTATTATTATTTTTTAATGTTTATTTATTTTTGAGAGAGACAGAGCATGAGTGAGGGAAGGGCAGAGAGAGGGAGAAACAGAACTTGAAGCAGGCTCCAGGCTCTGAGCTGTCAGTACAGAGCCTGACACAGGACTCGAACCCACGAACTGCAAGATCATGACCTGAGCTGAAGTCAGACGCTTAACCAACTAAGCCACCCAGGGGCCCCAAGTCCATTTTGTTTTTAGCAACAGCCTTTCCTCTGGAGAATTCAGTGCATTTTTCAAGTCTTATTTTTCTCAGATTGGCTGCTGCAGAAACTCTTGGTGCTGCTAGAACTTAAGCGATGAGGTGTTTTACTCCTTTAAGAACTGGTGGGTGGAAACTGAGAGTAGAATCAGGTTTGGTAAATTTCCACATTGAAAGAGAAGGAGGGTGTTTTTATTTACTTCAGTCTCCTGCAATTTGTCTTGTTTTCCCCAGGCTAATGGGTTTCAGCTCTTTTTTGGGCACTCAAGACTCCTGATAGATTAAGCCAGAATAGGAATCAAGACAGAAAGTGTGTCAGAAACTTCGAGTCAGGAAATTCTCTCTGGGGGCGTGGGGGTCCAGGTTTTCTTTTTCTTGAAATGCCGAGCTTAAAAATAAAGCCAGGCGTATCCTATCTTTTCTGGGCACAGACTCAACACACCTCTCTCCTTCACATCAGACTCCTCTGTGATTTTTGACAGCTTTCTGTCTCCAGCTGACAGTGTTAGTCAAGAAAAACCGCAGCTAAATGAGGAGTTTTCTCCTGGCTGAGAAACCATGATGACTGAAAAACTCAGTATGTCAAGAGTGATGTTGTTCACATTCCAGAGATGTATTAGTTTTATAAAGATCCTTGATGTATGAAAATATTATGCATATGATGAGCTGCTCTGCAAGGAATCTTGAAAAACATCGGAAAATGTTAAATGAGCTATTAGTAGCCAATGGCTGTCTTAAGAGCTTCTCTGCAATAACAATGTAAATAGCTCAGAAACCTATATCGTATGTGGAACAATATACAGGTACATGGCATAAAATATAACTCTTATTGAGATTTTATTTATCGATGGAGAGGAAAAAGGAGAGTAAATCCGAGGCTGGCAGGAGGACCCCGTAAGTGATGTCAGTTTCAAACTGTAGTCAGAACATTGATTAAAACAACGTTTTTAGTTATGCTGATTTACTTGTTTGCAAAAGGTGATTTACCCACATCTCTTTAAGGTGGTCTAAATACGACCTTAGGTCCCTTTAAATTCAAATTTAAGTGCTTAGGTCCTAAGTGCTTAGGTCCCTTTAAATTCAGATATGATTATGTTAGTACTGATACACACACACTGACACACACATAACTGTTTCATAGGCTCTACTACCTGCAGAACGTCAGCCTCCTCAAAAAACTCCACAAATTATTCCTGGAATCTCCAGGAGGACTTGAACATGTGCTTACGTATCCTTCTGCTTGATCCTTTTTATCGATGCCATGTGTTTATAAACCACTAAGAGTGGGGGCTCCCCATGAACCCAGTTGCCAGCGATCTTTGTGAGAATGTGGCTACCGTGAGTAGTTCTGTTTCCCATGGATTTCAAAGATGCCAACAGTGTCATCTTTTCTACCCTCGTGGAGCCAAAGCCAAACCACATCCCCTGGTGAAATAGGAAAAATGTTCCAGACCTTGTCTCCATGACCGTGGATTTTGTTGACTGAGCCTTAAGACTGCACAGTCTGTGCCCCAGGACCTGCAAAGTCCTTTATGAAAACATGGCTTGTGCTTTCTGACTGAAATCTTTCCTTCTACAGGGGACCAAATGTAGTAAATAATCGGGGCAGAGTGCGATAGCCTGGTACTCTGGATGCCCATTCTCTCCCAGCCCTTTTTTTTTTTTTACCCCGTGCACATCATGTCACCCGAAAAGATCTCTAGGGCAGTGCTGTCCAGTGGGACTTTCTGTGATGGTGGAAATGTGTTATGTCTGCCCTCTCCAATATGGTACCCACGCCTGGCTCTTGAAAAATTGGAAAGTGGCTAGTGTGACTGAGAATTGAATTCCAAAATATATTTAATTTTAATTAATTTAAATTTAAATAGCCACCTGTGGCTGGTGTCGGCAGCTCAGGCTATTTTATTTTTGCAGCCCTCTACTCTTATATTTTCACACTCATGCTTCATTCAACTACCAGTCTTGTCCTTTGCATCAGCCAAGGTGTCGTTCTCTTCCATTCGTGGAGAACCAGCCTAGATGCAGGTCCCTGCCAGCCCGTTCCAGAGCCAGTATCTGAGTGAATTCTAGGCTGAGCTGACCATCTTTATTTCCCTTTTCCAGAAACCCAAAGGCCGCCCGACGTTCACTGAGTTGCTGCAGGTTCTCACAGAGATTGCGGAGACCTGGTGACACAAATGGGACGCCAACCCAGAGGATCATCTTGCAAAATTATCACAAAAGGAAATCCTGTTCGGGGTCACTGATGATGAACACCTTCCTTTAGAGTTGCTGACTTTTGGAAACAGTGCAAAGATCACAGGCTTTTCAAACTTTAAAATTTAAAAATACTCTGACAGTCATATTTTCTACAGGGATGTCTTTGAAAGGGACTTTCCGACTCTCATTTTTCTGTGTTGTTCTCTGTGTCCCATGTGAAGAGGGGGAAAATGCTCCATAGCGGTCTTCATAGTGGCTGCTCTTCCTGAGAAGAGCCCTGGGAGCCCCTGAGGGTGAAAAACTCTGCCAACTCATGGAATAAAGGAGCCTCCCCTGCAGAATTCAACCCTTTTGAGCTGGACGGACCTTTGTGGAAGATGCACCTTTACAAGACACATGAATGTGAACATTCTTAAACTGTCTTTTATAATCTCCCCTATGTTATTTAAGGACTTGGTTTTGCACATACCTGATTATTTTGGAGACAGTTTCTTGTATTCCAGTTTTAAACACTGTGAAGGCAAAGTTCTTTGAACAGGTCCCAGTGGAATTTCTGTTTCCAGTAATATCCATTGTCAGGGTCAGTTGAGAACTTGAATTTGAATTCTGCAGTTTCACGCTTTGTCCATGTGAAACTGGACGACTTAAGAAGCCTCCTTTTAAAACGGGTAATGGATCTATTTTCTTTTCTTTTCCCTACAGTGTCAAAGAATGCTTATTGCACAGTTGGGTAAAGAAAAGTGACACATTTTGAAGATTTCACATCTTTTCTGAGTTAAATTCTCAAACAATTTTTTTTGTGTATAGTTGACACATAACATTATATTCGTTTCAGGTAGACAGCATAGTGATTCAATGTCTCTGTATGTTATGCTGTGCTCAGCACAAGTGCGGCTGCCATCTGTCCCCATACATTGTTATTACTATATCACTGACAATATTTCATATGCTCCGCCTTTTATTCCTGTGACTTATTGATTCTACAACTGGAAGCCTGTGTCTCCCACCCCCACCCCCTCTCTCCAGCAACCATCCGTTTGTTCTCTGTATTTATAGGGCTTCTATAAGAAGCCTCATTTTGTCATAGGAAATTCCGCCAGTACCTCTCTAGAAGACGGCTTGCTTTTCTCATAAGAACAAGAGGAGGCAAACACAAGAGAGCCAAACGTCACCTCCAACTCCATTATTTCTGAAGCCCGGGGTTTTGGATTCAAGATAAAAATAACCACGGTCATAATTAAATCTTAATTCCTTGGGCGCTGTTTGTAGGAATGACTGGAAATGTGTCTTGATCATTGCGAGCATTTCAGAATTAGCGTAGGAAGAAGGGTGTGGCAGAAGGCACACGTGTTGTCATCGTGAGGTTTCGTGCTGGGAGTCTGTCGTCTGATACCGCCCTACCCTGCGTCGTGGTTCTGCGTTAGGATTCCCAGTAGATTGTAAGTTGCCGTGTGGCAGCAGCTGTGACTTTTAAGTCCTATTTCCCTGTTCCAAGAATGATGTATTTGAGTATTAGTGGTACTTGGTCAGTGCACTGAAATGCTGAGCATCCGACGCGAGAATGGCCAACTTTGATAATTCAAGTGGTGGTCTTGGAAATACTTGTATGAGATCCTGTGGTGTTTCTGAGACTATCAGACCCTTTTTCCTCATGATATGGGAGGCGAGACAGGGTTCCCACTACTGAGATCTTAGGTCAAATAAGATACGCAGAAGTTACATGCAAGAGGGCATGAGACTCTCAAACCAGCAAAAGCCAAGGCCGGGGAGAAGGTTAATGTTATGGCAACAGAACAGGACATCCAAATGCTGAAGAGTTAGGATTGACCACAGGGCATCCCGCCGTCACAATCACTGCGATGCAGGGAGACGGAGTTCAGAGCGGGAGTGAGTCCAGAGAGGAGTCCTTCCTGGAGGTGTGATGGCAGCCACCAGCTCCCCTATGAGCAATCATTGGCTGGTGGTAGGCAAGCTCTATTCCTTTTGTTTTAACACTTCATCAGAGCATGAGATACTAAGAAACAGAAGTAACTGGAGATAGTATGTATGTAACTGAGGTGCCAGATAATGGGTGAATTTGGAATGTCTTTTTGTTTTTAATGTTTATTCACTTTTGAGAAAGAGAGAGACAGTGGGTGAGCAGGGGAGGGGCAGGCAGAGAGGGAGACACAGAATCCGAAGCAGGCTCCAGGCTCCGAGCTGGCAGCAAAGAGCCCAATGTGGGCCTGGAACTCTCCAACCATGAGATCATGACCTGAGCCAAAGTTGGAGGCTTAACCAACTGAGCCACCCAGCTGCCCTGAATTTGGAATATTTTTAGTGATTCATCGTTCTTTGTCTAGCAAAAGAAAAAATTTCTTAAAAAAAAAAGAAAAAATTTCTTTAAAGAAGTCACAGAACTTCTCTTAGAAGGGAACCCCATTTTGTAAACAATGCTAGTATTTGTTCTTGTGAGGAGTTCTCTGTGGATAGCTTAGTTTGGGGTGAGACAGCGCAATAAACAACTCTGCATAACAAATGAACAGGCAGGTTAGGGCTTGGTCACGGATGAGAGCCCTAAACAAGAAAAGACAGGAGCTCAAAGGAGCGAGGGAAGCTCTGAAACAGACAGAATCTGCAGGCCAAGCACAAAATATGTTCAGTGTAAATACTCATTGGGCAAGAGTAGCCAAAGGGCTTTTTTTTTTCTTTAGTAAACTTTTTACTGAAGTACAATACATGGTTGTACTATTGTGTGGGTAACATGCTCCACCCACAATCAAACTCACACAACCCGATAGCATTTCATTCAGCACTATGTTTGCTCAGTTTTTAAGCTGGATTAAGGGCAGGGAAGAGCATGCACAGCCCTTCTGTTTCTTTTGTTCTTTTTTTAAGCTTATTTATTTTTGAGAGAGAGAGAGAGAGAGAGAGACACTCGGAGCATGAGCAGGGGAGGGGCAGAGAGAGAGGGAGACACAGAATCCGAAGCAGGCTCCAGGCTCTGAGCTGTCAGCACAGAGCCCGACGTGGGGCTTGAACTCCTGAACAGTGAGATCATGATGCTTAACCGACTGAGCCACCCAGGTGCCCCACAGCCCTTCTGTTTCAAGGGGGGGCCTATCAACTGCCTGTGTGCATAGATGCTTGGGTCCCTCCTCACCCACCTAGAGAGTGTGTACGATTGCTGGTGATAAGGCCATGGCGTGTGGAGTTTGTCCTTAGGCAAAGAAGGTTCTATCTCGGTTTCCCATCTGTCATGTAGGCCTACAATTCTCAGGTTTCCCAGCCCACGTGCTTTCTCACAGAGCAGAGATTTTCACAGCATACAAAACATATGTCTGGCCCTGGGACCCAACATTCCAAATGTATCTTGGGACATATTGAAGGCACTGTGCCATTCATTTACCATCCAACTGCTGGGAGAACGCAAACCTAAAATCCAGACAGATCTAGGTCCGGGATAAAAAGGGTACAGGTCTGCTGTTAACACCTTGTTCACGTACATAAGGTACACAAGTCATGTGTACATAGCTTAGTTTTCATAAAGTGAATATATCCGTGTAACTAGCCCTCAGATGAAGAAATGGTACATTCCAGAATTTCAGAATCCATTCTCATTCCCTATTCGAGTCATTAATCCAACAGTAATCAATATCCTGATTTCCAACACCGTGGATTGGTATGGGCTTTTCGGAATTTTATGTAAATGGAATCCTATGATATGTACTCTCTTGTGCCTGGCTTCTTCCACTCGATATGTTCATTTGGCCCATCCATGTTGTGTGTAGTTGTGTTTCATCAATTCGTATTTCTGTATAGTCCCCCACTGTATAATTATACTGCTGATTATTTGTTCTACTCTTGATGGACTTTTGGGTTGTTTCCAGTTTGGCTCTTAGGGTCGGTGCTGCTATGAACATTATCCTACGTGTCTTACGGTGAAAATATGTATGTGTATCTATTCTGTGGATGCCTAAGGGTGGAGTTGCAGGAGCAACAAGTATGTGTACGTTCAGCTTTTGGAAATAGTGCCAAACAGCGTTCTAAATGGACATTACCAAGGACACAACCAGCCACTGTGTATGAACGTTCTAGTCGCTTCACACCCTCAATGGTATTTGGAGTTGTCTTTCTCATTACAACGGCGAAAGGATTTGTATGGGCAAGGACGTCTCCTCTTAACTTTTGTTTGTTGAGCTGCAGTAATCTCAGCCCCCTACTCTTTGTGGTCAGCATAGCAGGATGCCCCGTGCACAGCCGAAAGTAAATAGTATTTGAGAGGCTGGAAGTGATTTGGGGTGATACAAAAGGATAATATTAGAGATGAAATGCAGAGAAGCAAGAACTTGTATCTGGAGATATTTTGAAAGATATATATTTTGATATATATATATATATATTTTGAAAGATCTGGGTGTCTCACCATGTGTGGGATGAATACGTACACACACACACACACACACACACACACGCACACATTTCTTTCCAGGGAGTGGGGGTCTTATTAAATGGAAGTCCATGATTTGGTGAGAACTTTGATAGGTTTGTCTAAATAAGTTTGGGTGTAGGCATCAGAGCCAGATGCATTGCTTGACCTGGAGAGAAACTGGAGAAAGGAAGGGGAGGAGAGAAGCAGATCAAAGAGCTAGACGGAGGAGGACATTGCCTGATGGCAGTAAGAGACTTGGGGGAGCAGGAACATTTGTTTTCTTATGTTTGTCCCACCCCTATCCCTATAACCCCAGCTATTCCTTGAAGTCAATTGGCCTCATGAAGGCTGTTTGGATTTGTGTGTGTGTGTGTGTGTGCGTGTGTGTGTATTTCGCATGGTGCAGGGCAGGGACCATATGGAACATGCCTGGGAAGAAGAAACTGGGAGGCAGAAGAAACTCTAAGCATATAAACCTGCAGAGAATTTGTCTAAATCTTGGGAAAGACTTTGGTTGTGTACGTTGTACAACAGCTACACTGAGGATTTAACTTGGTTTTGC